GATGCTATCAAACCACCGCTTTCTCTGTCTGCCTCTTTTTCTTTTCCCTTCTACTTTGCTTTCGATTGTTTGTGCTACTAAGGGGCTCCCACTGCCACGCAGAATGTGTCCAAAGTAACCAATCTTGAGGCGGGCCACTTTTCCAAGGAAATCTCTTTTTGTGTTTAGTTCTTGCAAAACACTGAGGTTAGTTATTTTTGTCCTTCCAGCTGATTTTTAGCCTTTTCCTCCAGAACCACGTTTCTGCTGCCATGATGCGATTTTCATCGGCTTTGACTCCGAAACAGTCCCGCTTTCAGCACCATAAAAGCAAAGCACTCCAAACCAGGGTTTTGAGCAGTTTTATTTTCAGACCGGTTAAGCCCTACTGTCCTACTTGTAGCTACTTGCTCCCTCTATATAAAAAAAAAAAACTTCTTCAATCGGTGCCTGTTGGTCCCCCATGATCCTCTTTTTCTTATGTTAGTTGAGAGCTGAGTTAATGAGATAGCCACCTTCCAGTGACCTCGCTGTGGTCTAATAAATAATAATAATAATAGTGGGTTCTTGTATAGCGCTCATGTCAGTCAGTAGTATTGCCGGTCTTTAAGATGTTCCTGTCATTCCAAAGTAAATGCAGGGTAACCATTCTCTTCTTTAATTGCTATAGCTATTCTGATCTTTATATCACAGGTACAGCTGGCATCCCTGTTCTTTGTAGATCCAAGATATTTGAAGCTGACCTCATCTGTGACTGTTTCCCCGTCGATATGGATGCTACAATCGGTATCTGAGGTTTTACCAGCAACTAGGAGTTTAGTCTTTTCAACATTTAAATGCAAGTTGAGTTTCTTGCCGGCATCGTTTACTGCACGTGTGAGACTTTACGTTCGATGGGGTAGCTAAAAATGTTTTTAGGTGGGAATGTTTTTGCGTAACCAAGATTTGTTTTATGCTGAACCCATCTTAAATAACTCCTTGTTGTGACCAGTTTCATTAACGTGACTATTATGATTTTTGTGACGGCAATTGTCATAGACTTTGGTCCCGAGACACTTATTGATCATATCTGATTGGCACACGTATGTAAAACCAAATTAAACGCGCCTACATGCACACACACACACACACACACACACACACACAAAACACCCTCATACATTCACTTGAACACTCTTTCTCCTGTTTTTACGACCATTTCCGAAAACGATTTGATACAATCCATCGTTTATTCAGAGCCTTCTTCTGTGACGGTTCCTTTGATTATTGCAATGACGACCTTCGTCATTGCCTTGTTTTCGTTCACATTCTGCCCCATTCTGCATTAATATTCTCCTCCTTGTTTTCGTTTTCTTCCTTATCGTCAGGAAATCGCATTCGTTTTGCACGTAGTGCTTGTTATTCCTAGTTAGGTACTTTCCTCATGTCCTTTTCCTTTCAAATTTCATAGGCATAGTCTCTAACATGTCATCAAGGTCACTACATTCTTTGATTCTCGAAATCACTCATGCATAACCGTCCATGCGCCATTTTGTCCGTTTCTTGTCCTTTTTAAGGCCTTTCTGTCTTCCTTCCTATCTCCACTATCCTAGATCCTACACACTTCTAACAAATTCCTCTAAATAGTCTAAGAGATGTTCTTTCATCTGCGACGTATAACCTGCCCTTCAAAATGCCATCTTCGTACTCAAAATTCAAATCTGAAACCGACTCCGTCACAAATCTCTCAAATTCTTGAAAAATGGACCCCTAAATAATCTAAAACTGCCATAACTTTCTCATATAAATTCCGTTTTGTATTTAAATCTTACAATATCTTTATCTCATAATTGCACATAGCCATGCCAAATTTCACGCTCCAATGGCTTTGCATAACATAAATAGCGCCCTCTAAAGTTCTGGGAATTGGCTTTCTCTCTGTGGCCCTATCTCAATAATGGCTTGGCAAACCCGTACCCTTTTTTGGATTTAGATACTTGAAGATATGCCCTTTCCAGCCATATACAAAATTATATACCCTATTACTGACCAAATTTGAGAAAATTGCCCTCCAAATTCGCCATTTTCAAGAAAATTGAGAAATAACTTCAACTTGCTCTAAACCGGCGATCTTTATACCTACATCAATGAAACTTGGCAGACACATGTATCCATATACGTGACAACTGTCTGCTAAGTTTAGTAAATTGTAATGCCCTCTTCGCAAAGTTATCGCCAAAAATGATGAATTTACTATGCTTTACGTAATAGCGCGTTTGATGCGTGCAGTACGTTTTGCGCAAATGACAATGGTTTCAAACTGACCGCACTGAAGTGCCCTTTTGAATGATACCAAGTATGGTATATGTTCACGCAGAAAATTGTGAGTAAATCGCATTTGAACAAGGGTCACTATACGAATTCCGCCGAGTTTCCGCCCTATTAAAACACGTTTCGGCCATGACGTCATTTTTTAAGACTTTCATTCGGTTGTGTTAGTATGGGTGGCCGTTCGTGCCAAAGCACGCGTCGCAACATGTTCATCATGCACCAAGTCCTATTGGTTTTGCACGCAGTGCTTGCGAGCCCTTTCTAGATCCCTTCCTCTACTCCAATTCCCTTCAAAATGCGTAGGCGTAGTCTCTAGCATTCCTTCAAGGTCACTAAATTCTTCGTTCTCCGGAAACCCTCATGCGTGACCGTCCAGGCACCATTTTTTCCGTTTCGGGCCGTTTTGGTGACCTTTCTTTCGCCCTAACTATCTCCACTATCACAGAAGCTACAGACTTCTTACATATTGCTCTGGATATTCCGAGAGTAGCTCCTTCGTTTGACACGTAGAAACATGGCGTCATTGCACGCACATCGTTGTGACACGATTGCATTTCTAGTGATTCTTATTATTTTTGTCAATATTTTGCCCCTTTTCACAGGCCCGGCGGATGGGAAGTGTATCTCTCTCTCTCTCTCTCATTTACATGTATGTCATAAGAAACTTTACCCTGCGTAATGGGGCGCATCTTTGGAGATGAGGTAGAGAAAATTGTCGTGTTTACTTGGGTGCTTTCCCCATATATGTAATTTAGATCACGATAGAAATCTTTATATCAATCACTTAATTGATAGATGTTTATGTAATCTTCGTTTGAATAGTTCTCTGAATGATTGATTTGTTAATTTGTTCACTCATTCAGTCAGTCACTCGTTTACTTATTCGCTCATATATCTACTCAATCGCCCATCTTTACAATCATTTCATTTATATTTACATTCATTCAATTGATTAACTAATCAACTAGTTCATGTCTTCATTCATGCATTCACTATGTGAGTCATGCATGCACTCATTCACTCATTCACTCTAAAAGGCTAGCCGAATTGTCCACTTTTGGTCAACAAATCCCTACGTGGAGCTGGACAAACTACATTTAAACAAGCAGACTGCCTCAATGCAAATGAAACAAAAACGAAATGATTGTAACAAATATGTCAGAGAAACTAATTGTTTTAATTGTGCAACCATGACAATTTTCATGAATGTCTTGATACGAATGTAATTTTTAGCAGAATGCATCAAATAAACCAAGAAATGTGAGAAACACTACCTTTCATAAATGAAATTTTGAAATATGCAAATGTTAACAAAAGGATTTAAAAAAATTATACAAGCTTACTCATAGTATAAAAAAACAATATTTAAGCTTTAAATAATTAAAAAACCAGGAGAAAATGCTGTTGTTATGATAATTAATAATTTTTTAGGTAGTATGATATGTCGCTCATCAAAATAGGATCACGGATTACTGACCACCCCGAAAATAAATTTATCACCACAATAGCCATACTTGACTATTGTTTTGTCAATGTGAAAAACTCAACACTCATGCCAAAATTAAACTACAATCTGCATTTCATCTCCACCTCCAATCCTTTACACATGAACTGTCTTTCATTAAAGGTAAAGACCAGTATTGGCAACGCCCCAATTTCAAAAAATGAAATGGAAGCTCTCATTACCAATCATGTGAAAGAATATGTTTTGACTAATACACGATGATAAAAAATTTGCCGGGAAACCGCCTACTAATTCATATATTTGGTAAATTTATTTCTCTCATGGTCTGGTGAGAGAGATAGGGTAGTCCCATATACATCTTTCTGTGTATAGTGCTTGTAACTTTACGAAGAATGGGCCAAATTTCTTATCATTTTGATGATTCCAGAACCTTGCAGATGCTAGATGCTAGATGATCAACCTTTTCTGATCGATTCCACAACGTTTCTTTCACAATGCAATCGCATGACCATTACTGGTCTTTACCTTTAACTCCTTTTGTAGACGTTGTCCTACTTTTGTAAAAAGTAAGAGTTTAACAACACTGAACAACGAGATTTCACTAAGAGTTTAACAACACTGAACAACGAGATTCCACTGCAGTTTAACAAAACTGAACTCAAATGTGATTTCACTTGGAGATCAACATTAATGAACCACAAAGTACATTTGTACATGGACACTCCTTTTCACAAACACATCTGTAAATAGCAGCAAATTTTGGGCAATTCCGCTTTATTTCTCCAAGAAAATTAGTAATTCAAGCCCTTATATTTTCACTTAAGAAGGTAGAGTATTGCTCTGGAATTTGAAGAGGTACAATTGCTTTAACACAATTTGAAAGGGAAATTATATTTGTCCTGGAAAGAAACAAGGTATTCATGAGCTCTTCTTGCGTATCATAGCTACTCTCAAATCAAGTGACACTTCATGTATCTGTACAGTTACTATACATTTTATTACAGATTACACCAATTACCCACTATTTACACACCAATCAAGCCACTGCTTACAAATGGACTTTTAGAAACACTAACACCAACAAAATTGTCGTCTGCTGAACCGACCTTTGCGGCTGGTGTTAATATTTCACGTACAAATGTCCTATTCATTAACACTAAGCAGTGGCTTGATTATTCCGCTTGATTATTCCGCTAAAACCAAAAACCATAGAAGTCTATTTCCATTTCCATTCAGGGGGGGTCGTCTAATCTGTATGCCTTTACTGTGCCTGCATCTGGGAGACTTTGGGAACAAGTTGTATGTAGTTTGACAGGAAGCTTAATATGGGAAATATAAAGATTTCCAGAATGCAAAAAAAAAAAATCATAATTGTTGAAAATCATACTTTTCTTTACATAGAGGTAATATTATTAGGATTAGGAATTTTGGATTGGGTATACAAATATACAATCACTACCTTGATTGGATATTACTCAAACTTTTATTTAGATAATTATGTCAAACAACTTTTCATTCACAAATATCACTGAATAATAAGCCTTTAGCGTGTATTCATGTCACAGTAGGCTCATTTACATATCCCAAACACTGTTTCGAAAGACTGTCGATTTTGTTGGATAGCCATTAAAATCGCTGGACATTATTTGTTATGGTGAAACAAGCACAATATGCTGCCCGTTTATGCATCTTATGGATAACACAGAGCTCAGAGACTACTTGTGAGGCCTTTGCTGTGCGCAGTTGCCATTCAATTTACACATTCCGAGATACAAATAAAAACTGCTTCAGTTCACCACATCATATCTGAAATAACCTTCATGGATCATTATTCTATTTCATTTCAGGCAACCTATTAACCCAGGCTCGGTTTCATAAAACTTCTTATTAATTACAAATGTTAAAAAATAATAAGACGACTTTGCTCTGAGCCAATGATGTAAGGACATCAGTAGTTTATAACATGTATTGTAACTTGTTATTGATAACAAGTTTCATGAAACAGGGCCCAGGTTGGAATGACCAAACTGTCTACTACTTAAATCCCTAGCTGTATGAAAATGAGATCGTGCCGGGTAGCTATAGCAACCATGGTGGGTGTAAGACTGACAATGTAGAACAGAGAACTCAAGAGCATACTGCTTTGTATTGGCCAAGTCAATGTGAGTTGTTGGTATTGGAACCTCACCTCCTCAACTAGCCGGATTCCTTGCAGCCTGTACCTTGTTAGTCTCAGCACATCTGAATAATTCACCACCGTTGCTACCAGAACTCTATCGAGGCTGTCTACCGTAGCATACACAAACTCATCATCATGGGTTGCTACGATGGAAGTGCCTACGCGACCATCCCGGTCAAAGACAGTGACCGTGCTAGGCGTAATGTCACCGGTACTGGTGATCATTATGCCAGTCGTGGTAACACAGATCTGCTTCGGTCGGATATCCCCAGTGGGGACCACTCTCTGTGGATTAGGATTGCTACCGTGGAAGATGCAGATCTCTGGCTTTATATTTACGGCGTAGATGTTGTCATGCTGATCGGTGCACACCCGGACGAATCCTCCAGATTGCTTGCAAGCGTACCTCTTGCCACTACTGCTCCCGCTGACAGTGTTGTATACAAAGAATTCATCTCCTTGCTTTGATACGATTGTCCTGCCACCTGAAAGTAAAGCAACATCATAGACGTCACCCACCTCACTCCCAAGGTATTGATCCTCATCACCTGACAGAGTAAAGCGGTAACAACCTTTCCGGTCCATGGCGTATCCTAAAACCACTGCATCCTTCGACAGAGCTGCGAGTCCGAACAAGCGTCCTGTACCCAAAGGGAAAGCCCTTGTTCTTACAATACATGTACTCATTGAATTATTCAATAATGCTTCACTGCCAGCTTGCTTCTTTCTTCTTCCCCTGTTTTTCCTACGCCTTCTACCAGTAGTCTTCATATGTTGCATGGCATTCCCGGTTTCCAGACTGCTAGCTGGTGGCACTCCCGCTTCTTCAGAAACTCCAGCATCATCTGTCTTATTTATAATTCTACTAGCCTCTATGTCGTTGTCGCCGAGATGTATACAACCTAGGGCAAGAAGCTCATCCCCAGCCGGACGAAACTGGACATTATTTTGTATATCTTTAACATGTTTTGTAGACTCTTCAAGAGTGGCCTCCTTCAGTGAATCCTCTAGATCAGCACATGTCAGATGGACAGCTTTAATCATATCATGATCTAAAGGCTTACTTGCATGATGGGTTAAGAGTTTGACAGAATTACTGATCCTACTTATTACTTCTGTGCAGTGACATATACAGTTCTCCCAATGCCCAGACAATAATTCCCTGATGTTTCCTATCTTCTCTAGTAATTCTTCCTCATTTTGCTGGAGAGTTGCCACCTTGTTGGCAAAGGCAATTCTGACTTCCCCCTCCAAGCCACTCAGATGGGAACTCAAGACATCTCTTTGTAGGGTAGCCTCGCTCAAACAATGTTCAAAATGGGTCTTTTTTGTCATACTCTTCTCAAGAAGAGCATCTCTCATGGTCTTTAACTCCTTTTCTAACTCCTCCTGCTTCTTAATCTTGTGACCTTGATGGCTGTCAATATAGCATGTAAGGCAGATGAATTCACTACAGGGCTGGCAGTAAATGTCTTTATAGACATGACTATGTAATGGACAGAACTTTGATAGATCATTTTCTTGATTTTGTGCACTGCCGTCCACTTTGAGGATATCTTCTAGACCTTTTGCTAGAAAATTTGGTGTCAATCCTGCGACCCGTTCTTGATCCAGCTTGGTCGTCTTCCTGCAGACTGGACAGACAATGTGATTCAGGTCCTTTAGCTGCTTGTCATATGCTTCTAAACAACCCCTGCAGAAGGAATGGCCACAGCTAAGGAGGGTAGCGTTCTTTAAGACATCAAGACACATTGGACAGTTAAAACACTGGAGCTTTTCTTCTTTTGACCTGGCAGCCATTGCGGTCTTCTGTCAGGATCACACTGCACAGGGGAAAAAATTGAAAAAAGGCCTTTATCAGAACATTCATCACATACAGTGAAACTTGTTAGAGTTAGAAAAATAGATACCAGGGGCCCGTTTCAAATTTGTTAAGAGTAACTCTTATTTATATGTATGTAAACCAATTATATGCATTTGATCAAAATAGAAATTCAGCACTTATTGTTGATAGCAAGTACATGTATAATGAAACAGGGCCCTGATATGACGAAGTATTTCTGTCGGCCCTAGTTCTTTGAAGTCTTCTATTGTTGGTCTTCAGTTTTCACCCTCATATAAAAAGGTATTTTTCAGTCCAAATGTCCTCGGTAAAGAGTTTCTGTAGATAGTACTGCATGGGAGATTATTACAAATGGGAGTATAAGAAGAAAAGTACACGGTAGTAGTAAGGCTGTGCAAAACCGTGTGATGAGGTACCGGAGTACACTCCCAGGCTTACAAGCGAATACTCGAATATTCGGACGCATTGTTGTTTTTTTTCTTTAAAGGTACTATGTCCTTTTGCAGCCAACCTCAAATTCTGTAGAAATTTGCAGGAATTATGAATATGTCATGTATGTCCTATCTGTTAAATTTAAATGTTAGCGGTGTCCTAATATTCAAATTATGCAAGGAAACCTATTTACTTGCTAGACTTCACTGTCAGACACTATGAGTGACTGACTGGCTTTTTTCCTTCTTTGATAATGGGCGCGTTCATGCTTGATTTTGACGGCCAGAATCAGGCATCTGTTACGCTTTTAGTTTAAAACACGATTGCGTTCATGCTCACTTTTGTAGAATCACCAAAAAACGGCGATCACGATCGCAAACTCACAAAAAGATGCGTTTACAATTTGTAAACGCGTTTAAATGGGGTCAACGCACTGACCTCTAGTGGGTCTACGTAGCATGCGCACACAGGTTTGCGAATCCAGCTGAAGGCCACCCAAGGAGAATTGCCTGGAGAAGTGAGCATGAACAGTGCACCGTGGAACTGCGATTACGATGAGCGTTTACGATGAGCGTTACAAATCGCTCATTCTGCCTTCAAAATCAAGCATGAACGCGCCCTATAACATACATGAAATGAGCTGTAAAGGGTACATGAGCATTTGTCTACATCAATAACCCACTTCTTGTGATGGCCAAAATTAAACTGATTGAATCTTTGCGCAGCATAAAACGTATTACCATGCAGTACAATGGTCTGAAAATCAAGAGTATTACTTATTGGCTCTATAGCTCCTAAGTCAATTTGACAACTAATAGTCATTATTTTCCCACTTGAAGACATTTTCAAGCCCCACCTTTTTGAGGGAAGTTCTTAATTAGTATTATCTTTCAAATGCTGTTGGAATTTAACCTTTTCATTTTTTGGGCCTGCAAATGGGACATAGTACCTTTAAATTATTATTATTTTTTTTTTTGGTGCCACCACCATACCACGGGAGCAGTATCCCAGGTCCGTCTCCGAAAACTCACACAATTTTACTTCGAGTTGCAGTTAAAGGCGCTGATTCAATAATAATAATAACAGTAAACAATGCTGTTTTAAAAACCAAAGATGGCAGAATAATCTGTTTTCCTCCGAGTCCACACAGAAATCCGGACATTTGGTCCCAGTTTCTGAGTGGTGAGTTTGGCAGTGATTGAGCTGGGAAACATTTTTAACTAACGGTACCATGCCGGCAGCCGGCGCTCTCCCTGGCATGGTTAAACGTCGACCTGGACAGTGCCAGGTGACCGGGATTTATTTATTTCATTTTTTGCGGCCGAAATTTCAAGTACGAGAAATCGTACTTGAGTAATTGTAAACAGTGCGAGTACTCGAGTATTCGACTACTCGTAGCAGCCCTAGGTAGTAGACATAAATTCATATCTCATAGTCCTATGATACAAGATCAACCTCACTAAGAGTGCTGTTATCGAGCTGAACCAACATTATACAATCAGCAGACATTCCTGGCATATAGACGAAGTATCCTCCACCAATCAGCAGGCATTACCAGGACATGTGACCCTCAACATGATTATAATCACCGAAGATACAGAGCCTTGTATATGCACTAGTTAGTACCTCTCCACTAGGACTAGGAGCAAGGATTGTACTTCACATCGCGGCAAAGCTCTAAATGCTGTATGGCTGCTGAATTGCCTAGATATTAGTATACACTTTTCACAGGCTTCACGGCAAACCGCTGCGATACAATACATACCGATGGTGGGTTGCGGGCTGGCGTGCGCCTGTGTGAAGTTATCTACCGTAAATCGTAATGTATCAGACTCAGATCCTCAACTGTTTAATGCGTAAAGTTCTACATGCCCCACCACGCCAAGAAGAAATACAGTACTAGTTTATTAGTCATGAGTAAACAAATAATTATGACAAGAAACATCATCACAAAAGACAAGATAACTCAAAAAAAGCAGTCAGGTAAAATAACTACCACTGTCTGCACTAGTCACTAGTGCACCCCAGTCTATACGCTACACTACACATGATAAGATCGAAGCGCTACGCAGCTTGCTACAATGTACGTCCCATGCGGCAGTACAGTAGTAGGCGAGCATTACGCAAGAAGTTCTAAACTTCATGTCTCCTCCACACATTGCTAACTCTTCCCGTCCCACTGTTGGTGCTGATCGAAAGTTTTGCTTCCAAGCCCCACATGTCTGATCTTGCAAGAGGACAGATCAATTTCTATGTTTTTTTAAAAATACATGTATGTAATGACTGCTTACGTGCTCAGCTTTGAGTTTCTAGAACAGACGATGACAAGAAGCGAAATCGATAAAGCCAGGCACAAATTTGAATCAAGTGCCGTGCATGCTGCCGTAAACTGAAACTTTTTTTTTTTTGTGCTGTCATCTATGGAACGCCGTGAAGGATAAGATATCATTACAATGTAATGCTCGCCGAGAGCGTTATTTTTTTATGCGGCACAGATTGGGGCTTTTTTTTAAAGGGGTCTTGATTTACAGACTAAATTTTAGTGGTCGTGTGCGTACTAGTAGTAGAGGTCTATTTTTAATAGTGTTACATGTAATCCACTACTGTATGGAAAATCATTACATTTGTCATCAACAATTAAAATGCAATTGGAAATCTGAAAAGGAGGCAGCACATCAGAATGCGGCTGCACGAATTTTCATTTTCTTTCCGGTATATTATTTATTTCATAGGCAAGTTCAAATAAATCTCGGAGGGTTCTCACCTCCCTGGTATAACCATGATCCAGGGGCCGATTCTACCGGTCCAGCCCCCCCCCCCCCCTAGACCCCTAAAACGGTTTTAAAAAATAGGATAGTAAAGTAAATTTTACCTTTTTTAACACAAAAAACAAAAGCGTACTCTCCCCTGACCCCTCCCCCCCCCAAAAAAAAAACAATTAGTGGTCCTCCTCTCCAGCATCCCCCCCCCCCCGCTTATTCACCGGCCAGCTGAGTCGGCGCAGGATTTTTTACTCAATAACTGGACCCCCCCCCCCCCCCCCCCCCCCCCAAAAAAAAAAATGTATGTGCTCTTACAATTCCATGCATACAAAAGTGGATTATAAATGTTCGTGATATCACATGATTTTTTAAAATGCACGTTTCTCCAATTATGTTGCAAACTGACAAATTCCCGAATAGCCAGGAAGAGCATGCGTCACCAAGACCGGCATAATGATTACCAGTACTGACGACCTCACGCCTAGTACTGTCACCGTCTTTGATCGGGAAGGTCGCATAAGCACTTCCATCATAGCAACCCATGATGATGAGTTTGTGTATGCTACGGTAGACAGCCTCGATAGAGTCCTGGTAGCTACGATGGTACATGGGCAGGCGCGGATCCAGGATTTTTTAGGGGAGGGGGCCCAACTTTTTTTTTTTTTTTTTTTGCTCCCGAAAATTTGAAAATCGCGCCGGCCGAAAAGTCGCTCAGGGGTAAGCGGACACTTTTTTTGTTTTGTTTTGGAGCCTTTTTTTTTTTTTTTTTTGGTCCTCTGTACATGGGTCAGATGAAATGAGGTTAACAAGGTACAGGCTGCAAGGAATCCGGCTCATTGAGGAGGTGAGGTTCCAATATCTCAAAATGCCTTGGTTAATACAAAGCAGTATGTTCTTGAGTTCTCTGTTCCACATTGTGAGTCTTACACCCAACATGGTTGCTGTAGCTACCCGGCACCATCTCGTTTTCATACAACTAGGGATGTAGGTGGTGGAGAGTTTGGTTATTCCATCCGGGGCCCTGTTTTATAAACCTTGCACCAATCCCAATTTACTATTCGTTTAGTTCAATGATGGCCTAAGAGTAAGCTGGTATATATTTTTTTTAATCCTTTTTTAACACTTGCATCAAATATATTTCAAAATTTCATTCATGCATGGAAGGCAGCGTTTCACTCATTTCTTGGTTTTATCGATGCAGTTTTTTACAAATTACATTTGTATCGAGATTCGAGACATTAATAAAAAATTATTATGGTTGCGCAATTAAAACAATTTGTTTCTCTATCACATCCGTTTCAATGAAATCATTCTTATGTCATTTTTATTGAAGCAGTCTGCTTGTTTAAAGATGAAGGTGAGTTCTGATCATCCGATTGCATTGTGAAAGAAAAGGTGTGGAATGGATCAGAAAAAGTTGATCATGTAGCATGTAAGTATTGTACAGCAAAGTTCTGGAGTCATCAAAATCATAATAATTTTGGCCCAGTCTTGGTAAAGTAACAAGAAATGTACACAGAAAGATGTTTCTGGGACTACATTAATGGTGTCGGGCTACTAACCTAGATGTCTTAATCTTTCTATGCTCATTACACGGCCAGAATACATTTTCTACCAAAATTGTTTGGCAAATGACATTTATTTGTAATCTTGAACATTCAGTGCAAGTTTCGTTTGATTCTGTGAGAATTCATTTTCTATTTCTTACCAGAACTCACCTTTATCTTTAAATGTAGCTTCTCCAGCTCCACGTTGAGGTATGTTGGCTCAAAGTGGATTATTCGGCTAGAATTAGTGACTAAAAATGCAAAAGGATGAAGAGAGAGAGGGGGAGGGAGAGGGGGTGGGAAAGAAAGGTAGAAGGACAAAGAGAAAGGGGGTGGCATATTGATAAAGAGATGGAGAAATAAAAAGGGAACCGAGATAAATGAGACATACATTATAGGTGAATAGACAAAGAAACCTAGAAAGAAAGCAAATGAGAAAGTGATAGCCCAGAGAAATAAACTAATTGAAGTGTTACGTTATGTTATTCGATGAAACGTCTGAGCTTCCCTTCCTGCACCCACCCCCTAGGGGGCGCGCTTCTCGCTCTCGGTAAATTATTCGCACGCTCCGCGTTCATCACTACCACCCCCTAAAATAAAATCCTATAGCTACCCGCCTGCCACACCGTAGGAAATTGTGAACAATGGGTGCTAGAAAGATAACTCCTGATCAACCAAAAGCAAGTATATACGTCATGCATATATTCTTGTCCATTGATTGGTTAAAAGTGTGTCGCATCATTAAAAAAGGAACACCCAGTACTTTTTATGACTCCTAAGCTGAAAATGATGATTATTATTACAGTTAAAGGGGGTGTAGCATGGCAAACACTGGTGGGGGGGGGGGTGCTTAGGGGCGCTTGCCCCTCCCCCATAAAATGTAAACATGATTTATTTTCAATTCCATACAAGTGATTTATAAATGTTCGTGATATCGCATTATTTTCAACAAAATGCGCGTTTCTCCATTTCTTTTGCAAACTGTCACATTCCCAAATAGCCAGGAAGAGCATAATATTATGTCTTTTATAGTCACTAATGGGCCTTGGTGGCCGCTAACAGTGACACTCGTAGAACATTCCTTTCCAGAAGCTTCTGCGACAAGCACTGCCGGGAGATAACATGCTACCCACCACTCGGGCTGAACAGTGGCATAATGAGCAAAATCGTTGGGGGGGGGGGGGCAGACTAACAAAATCCGCATCCGCAGCGCCCGAGGCTCAAGGGGTATGGGTATCAGTGGCGGATCCACGAATTTCTTACCGGGGGGAGCACAAAATGGCATGGGTGAAATATATGTAAAATGATGAAGCGACAGAGCGAGGCGTCAACGGCGAAGGAGCGGAGTGACCAAGCGGGGGTGGGTTAGAACCCCCTCCCAGAGTAGGAAGCATTTGCAATTTTAGAACCACATTAGACGCATTTCCAGGCACTTCCTGGAGTAATATGTCGTAAAATTGCTTTCTCCTACCCCCTCCAAGAGTTGGGATCTTTTGCAATTTGAGAACCACATTTGGCGCATTAATGTCAACCGGCACTTCCGGGGAAAAAAGAGGCCTTCTGATTGGTTAGAAGTTAGAGAAATGCCCGATTGGCCCCGAGTCAGGCCACGTGAAAGACACGCAGTCTCGTCATGCTACACCCATTTTAAAGCAATGAAATATGCGCCGTCGAGACTTGGTGAATTGAAATTATATTGCTGTCATTTTAGCGACGTATATCAATGCAGGTATGAATTAGATGAATGAATGAATGCTAAACAAGCCTGGTAAAGATATATGTATATATATATATATATATATTTGATTTGATTTGATTTGATTTATTTACCAACAGCAATACATTCCATACATTTTATACAATAATTACATATACAGAAAGAGAAACTATTGGTTGGTAAAAGGGGCCAGATAATAGCACATGTGCTAGTCGAGCCTACCCCCTTAAACAGCTAAACAAAGTATTTTGTTACAAATCAGTTTAGAGAACGTAACAAAACAAAAAATAATGAATTTACTGTTACAATCGATACTTAGACAAAACAAGAATCAGTACTCAACAATGTCTTACAATATACAAACTAATAATGTAAAATATGAATTGTGTACACTTGATATTTCATTCATGACTTATTCAACAAATGACTTGTAACAGAATTCCGAAACCTATTTCTAGACCTTGTCAGTCTGACATCAACAGGTAATCTATTCCAAAATTCACTGCCCACAAAAGACAATGAAAATTGACCTTGTGTCGTTCTTAATTTTGGAAGACATAATTGTCCATCTTCTTTTTGTCTTGTGGAATAGCTATGTTCTATAATGTCACAATACTCTATCAAAATATGAGGCAAATTGCCATTGACTAGATCAAACATGAAAGTAGAAATTGATAACTCATGTAAATTATACACATTTAGGATTCGCAATCTTTTAAATAATGGATCTGAAGGAGTTCTCCATTCACTAAATGTTATGGCACGAACTGCCATTTTCTGTGAATATAATATACTTCTTAGGCTAGTCTTATAAGTGCTTCCCCACACCTCTATTCCGTAAGAAATATGTGGTTGTATAAATGCTTTATATAATAATATCAAAGTACGGCTAGGAACAAAATGTCGCAATCTAAATAGCACTCCAACTTTCTTTCTAATACACTGATTTACAAAACGAATATGACTCTTCCAAGACAAATGTCTATCAATGTGAACCCCAACAAAAGTGGCAACATCAACCTCTTTAATTTCCTCGCCAGCGATTTTTAGTTTACCATTTATACCTATTTTTTTCCTCCTACTACATATTAACATGAAATTAGTTTTCATTGAATTGATTGTAAGTTTGTTAGCAGTGCACCACTTATGTATCTTCTGTATGTTGTTATTCACTTCATTTACATAAATTTCACCCTGGTCAGCAGAAAAAGTATGAAATAGATTTGAGTCATCGGCAAACAGCCGAAAATTGAAATAATCAGTAACAGTTGGCAAATCATTTATATAGATTAAAAACAGAGTTGGCCCTAATACTGATCCTTGTGGAACACCACATCTTATCTTGTTCCTTTCTGATAACGTTTGACCTCACTGGACAAACTGAAATCGGTTACTGAGATAATCCTTAACCCATTCTAGAGGTAATCCTCGAATGCCATAACGAGATAGTGTACCTAGTAATATATTATGATTAATTGTGTCAAATGCTTTTTTAAAGTCGATGAACATACCCAGAGTTACTTGTCCCTGATCTATAGACTTCAAAGTTGAATTTATCAAGTTGATCAAAGACAATTTAATGATATATTTCTTTCGGAATCCATATTGATGGTAATAGAATATATCATTTTTTTCTAGAAATTGTATTAATCTGATATTTATCAATTTTTCTAACACTTTACCGATGACAGGTAAAACCGATATTGGTCTATAATTACCTGGATCTTCTCTTGGCCCTTTTTTGTGTAGGGGAGTAACCTTTGCAATCTTTATTTCATCTGGAACCTTGCCAGTTTCTAATGACAAGTTAAATATATATGCCCGTGGATGTGAAATATATGGAGCACTATCTCTAATTAATTGCACTGGAATGTTATCGTGACCACAAGCCTTTTTGGTATCAAGTAGCAGAACTTGACTCTTAACTTCAACTGCAGTTATTGGTTTCCAAAATAAAGATTGCTCTATATTCTGCCCAAAAAAATCACCATATGCTACATCTGTATTCGGCAATTCTTCTGCTAAATTCGGTCCAATATTTACAAAAAAGTCATTAAATTCATTCACAATATCAGATTGAGATGTCAGTTGCATATTTTCTCCATGAACCTTCTTAATTAGTCTGTCCACTTCAGCGCTTCTCGGTTATCTGTTTATTCCAGCTAACAATTCATTGATAATGGCCCATGTTTTATTTGTATCCTTTACATTATTTTGTAACAAATCGCAATAGTACTTTCTTTTTGCATTTCTTAGCAGAGTGGTCAGTACATTTCTGTATTTTTTGTACTCGTCAACAAGATCCTGTCGATGATTTGATTTTATAACTTTTGAATACATTGTATATTTTACACGAATACATTTCATGATCCCTCGAGATATCCATGGTTTTTTTTGCAGCTTTCTTCTTTCCTTACTGCTTAGTAACCAATGGTGCATGTGTATATAATTATTATGAATTTATATAAACGAAATGACATGACGAAATGTAATATTACCCCGGAATATTACATAAATGGCATAACATAACATAACATATAGCGCCTGAAATTTTTTTTTTTCACTGGTCTCACTCTCTCTCTCTCTCTCTCTCTCTTTTCTTCTTTTCTTTTTCTATTGATACCTACGTCTCATTTTCCTTCCCTTCTGTTTATTTCTCGATCTTTTTATATATTGCTGCCCCCGTCTCTCTCTCTCTCTCTCTCTAGGCTATATATATATATATATATATATATATCGTTTATCAATTTATTTACATATCTCTATCTCTTCTTTTTGATACTCTTCATTCATTTCCGTTTTTCTTTCTTTACGTTCTCCTAATCCATTTACAAAGCCTTCAAAGTGAACGTAATATCGATGCCACAACCCTGGATAAAGAAGACACATTATTATTAGTGTCATTATTAGTAGTAGTAGTAGTCGTAGTGGTAGTAATAAAAGCAGTACTAGTAGTACTAGTAGTATTGTAGTGATATGACTACAGGTTATAGTATCTTAAAAAGGTAACATATTTTATTTTTATAGAAGAATATAGACCAAATCAATAGTTATTAAAATGCCATATTTTCTTATTATTTTTACCCCACCCCCACTTTTTTTTTTTTTTTTATCCCGTTCTTTGTTTCTATTTTTAGGTGGTTGATTATCATTACTTATTTTTTTATCCATTTCGTTTCTATTTTTAGGAAAAAGGAGTAAAGAAAGTGAATAATCCAAACCAATTAATTATCAACAAGATACACATATTGATTAAGCAATCTGTATAAGGATTTTACCAATATATAGGCTGTATACAAAACTTCATGAACGCCATCACGTCATGTCTATTTTGGAATACAAAGACATACCAATGTACCTTGAACTTAATGACCCATATACTGATTGCAAAAAAATGAACAACTATATATATACCGTACTTTGGTGTTTGTTAATAATGAATTACACACAGAAAAACATAAATTTGGGGTGTCCAAATGAGGAAGAAGAAAACGGATTTCTCATACGTGTTCAGGCCGGATACTTGTGAAGGATCTTTTTCTTATCCATGACTATATAACTCGTGATACCGAAATTTAACATGTTCAAAGCTTGCTGGTGTAATCTGATCGATTATACGAGCATATACAAAATGATAAACACGTACAGTGAAATCAAATACATATTCCTTACTTCATCATCATCATACTCTATGTATATAAACAGACAAAAGGTTACACACTATACGTGATTCCGTGCATCGCTGTACCAGGTCACGGGTGGCTCCGGGCGACACGATTGTTATGCAAATAAGTAGAAGTGTGAGATATTGTGGCATTAGTCTTACGCCAATCCGTTTCCGGTTATAAATGCCGGGGGGGGGGGGTATTTACATATTAAGACATACGGGGGTGTGCCGGCCTAATGGGTCACCTTTTCACCAAAAATAATTCCTAAACATCGGTCCAATTTTTAACACAAATATCCCTAAACATGGGTCCGTTTTTTCAAAATTGCCCAAATTTTCGGGTGTTTGCATGGCGACCACCCGAAAATTATGAAAAACGGGCCTATTTCGAGAAAACTCCCCCCAAATTACCCTTGAAAATAGGTAAGGACTTCGAGGCTTGAGCGGCACACCCCGTCCAGAACAAATCTGAGACCCCCCCCCCCCCCCCGAGGGTATATATGAAATCGACGTGTTTGATGCACTAAAATGAAAAAGTTAAAATCTTCTCTCTTTTTTTCTTTCGTTACTTTCTTCCTTGCTTTATATCTCTTTCTCTCTCCTTTTCTTCATTTTTTTTGTCTCTCTTCTTCCCTACCACTTACTGTATTAGGCTCTAATACCCCCTCCTAAGTATGCTTCTCTTCTCTCTCTCTCTCTCTCTCTCTCTCTCTCTTTCTCTCTCTCTATATATACACTCTATATAATATGTCCCTCCCTCTCTCTCTCCCTATAATAGAAATATGCATGTTTATATGTGTATGTCCCTTTCCCTTTAATCTCTCCCTGCCCCCCCCCCCTCTCACACACTCTCTCTCTCTCTCTGTCTGTCTGTCTCTCTCTCTCTCTCTCTCTCTATATATATATATATATATATATATATATATATATATAACTATATTTGTCCCTCTCTCTCTCTCTCTCTATACTATTCCTAGTATATACCTATAAATATGTTTTTGTATACATGTCCCTCTCTTCTCTCTATCAACGGCTTGAGCGACGACTAATATCGAAAAACACTCGAGCATCATTATGACGTATGAAGACAATCTATTTGCTTATTGACAATTTCATTCGGTTCGAGACGACAGGTTTTGCACGCAATATATTCATAATCTATTCGTCGGTTCGTTCGCAAGTGCTTTACGTGTTTACTGGGAGAAGATTTCTTTAAAAAAATATCCTTTTATTATAGTTTTGCTCCTATTGTGGACAATAATTCATCGCTATGGTGAAACCGACTGTTTTTGCTATTGACCCATCGCAAGAGAAAGCCAAGCAGAAAGCGATAGAAGCTGGCCAAGTGGAGGTAAAATTATCAACTCTTATTCCACAATTATATTGCTTTGCATATTCACGAATTCATAACATGTTTGGGGAATTATCTGTTTGTGATAATGCGAATGTGTTGGATAGTGTTACTTTATAGAGTCGTTTAATATTATGTTGAGAGTATAATTGCTGTAATTCTGATGCGCTATAGATCTGTTTTAATAATGTGAAATGAAGGTGAAATGCATTATTATAATTTATTTATGAGGATGGTGGTGGTGGTGGTGGTGGTATTCGTCGTTATCGTGACGATGCAGATTTTCACTTATGCCTGTATACGCTTCAGCGGGAAAATGCATCAGTATTAATAGCGAACAAACTGATAGAATGATGATCTTGCTCAGGGGCTGTTCATTTCAGTGGAGGTTTAACTAGACTGAATAGTGGTGGGGGTGGTGATAGTGATGATGGAATTGGTGGTGGTGGTGATGGTATACATGAGGATAATGTTGTTGGTGGGGTGATTATGACGATGGTGTTGGTGGGGCCGTGGGGTGATGGTATTCATGACGAGGATTGTGTTGCTGGTGGGGGGCGGGTAGTATTATTTACACTGTACGACGATGAAATTGGTAGGGTTGATGGTATTCATAATGAGCATAATGTTGTTGGTGGGTATGTGATGATATTCATGACGATGGTGTTGGTGGGGCCGGTGATGGTTATAATGATGAGGATGATGGTGCATTCCTGGAGGGGGAGGGCGATTTTATTATGGTCGGGATGTTAATTATTGGGGCTGATGGTAATTGATGGTGGTGATGTGGGGTTCTGGTAGTCAAAGTGTAATGCACGATGCAGATTTTTCATTTTTTAATAAATTATTTTGAAATGGAAACTCATTATTGGGTAAACATTTTGTAAAAGCTAAACCGGCAATGAAATTTAATAAAATATATATCAAATTTCGAAAAGTTCAATACTCTACGGACAACAATTAAGATCAAATTTTGAAATTCCACGCTTGAATGGGCACATCCGTTTAACCCTTAGAAGGTCTGATTATAGGAAAATTGATGTCTTTGCAAAAAAAAATGAAAGCGCTTCTATAAAAGATCTTCTTCTTCTTTTTGAGAGAGAGGCCTTAATTTTGGGGTTAATGCATAATTTTTGTTTGGTACTATTCTGTATTATGATCATCCAATACATGTACATCATACGAATTATAATACAATATAATTGCAAATAGAGTACACAATATAAACAACTCAATTTTGTTTAAATGAATAAATCGTACCCCCCCCCCCCCCATATGGAAACGTTGTATCATCCGCTCAATCTGACTTGCGTGCATTGAACAAATATGCATTTTTCCATAAAAAAAGTGAAGTTTTCTAAAATGTGCGCTTCTTTCCAGCATTGGGGCGCACGGAAGTCACTCGGGTAACATTTCATAAAGTATAATATAAAAAGACCATATGCAAATTTTCTGTACTTTTGTCGAAAAAATAGATTTATCCAGCACAATGTCGTCTCTTTTTGCGTTGGAGAAGAGCAAATAGCGAGTTTCAATCACACTTTGGCCGCTCTCGCAAGCTCTCACTCGTTTCACTGTGGTCAAGAGACTTTGGGGCAAGCGGTTAATGAAAATACTAATCGTTAGCTTTCTTCTGGTATCAAACTTATTTTGATTGATTGTATAATTTTGTCGGTATAAAGGAAACAAAAAGGCTCGACCAATAACTTATCAGCGTCTGAATTGACATTTTGACCTTGAATTCCCTGATGCAAGCGCACTAATGACGTCATCTTCGCTAAATCGGTGTCTTTTATCGTAAAATGCGACACTTTCACAATGTTTATACATCTTTTTTTAATTATTAGTTAGATATAACATATTTTTTCTGATATCACTGAAGTTTTGGGTTTTGTTTAATGAGTAATTTTAAAATAAGACCCATTTTACCGTTTTAATTTACTGGATCGTACCTTTAAAGTCGCAGGGTAGAAAGATGCATTTTCCAACCGCACCAAATTTAATTAACGTTCCGACATTCTTTTAAATGGGTTCGTGTTGTTAAGAATCCACTGCTTTCTGCTCTAACAAACGTCCACATGCGGAGTCGTTTGTCAACTAAATTATTCAAATTTATGGATGCTTCCTGGCTTCCCAGGTGTTTGTGTTGCTGTTGAAGCATTTCATTCACCTACTATCATGCTTTGTACTAATTGCCAGAACGCAAATTTCATTTTGGTTTTATAGTTTCATCGGAGTCGTTTATCAACTATATGTATTCAAATTTTTGAATGCTTCCTCCCCAAGGTGTTTGTGGTGTTTATGCATTTCATTCACCTGTTATTATTCTTTGTACTCCAATTGTTAGAATACAAAATGCATTTTGGTTTTATAGTTCCATGCAATAAGTAAGTCAATAAAAGAGTATGTTCTGCACAATAAAAACGATGTGTGTCCCTATTGTACAATGTAATGTGTCCCCTCATTTTGTAATAGTTAATTTACCCATTCACATAATGGAACTACCTGCCCGATGAAGCCAGTGGCCTATGACCCCTGAGCACTCAACACCGTGTGGGAGTCAGTTCGTGATCAAATTCTTTTATGAGACAAATACAAGCAAACGTTTCCATATGTCCCCAAATTAAAACACAACACAACGACGAAGCCTTTCAAAAATTAAAAAATGTGGCTATCGATTTTTTGTTCGGGTGGGGGGGGGGCGTGATAAAATTAAGCTTGAACTCCAGGTCAATTCAACCCTTGATCAAAATGATTTTGTCAAGGTTATTGCCATGGTATGAAAGAAGTAAGATAAGGTAAACACAATGGAGAAAGTGGGAAATAAGTAGGACCAACATTTAGGAAGTTATGAGCGTTTGAAATACAAGTTCACAAAATTTATGGGAATCAAAAATTGACAATTTGGTCACTGGATTGTAATATCATTTAAGGACAACTCTCCCGTTTGTCGTTAAGAAAAATATCATCAATTTATCTTTTACCTTTGGCTCCTTTCTTCTTTCTCCCTTTATGTCACGTCTCCACTTTGTTATGGGTAGCATATATTATCTAAGGTTTCTCTAAAATGAAAAGACCCTCCTGATTCATATATTTTGAAAACTTTGCATTTGTAGTCATAATGTGTGTTGGAACGAATGGAAAAGTTGTCCGGCACTTTGTCACGGTGACACTACCGATTCAGCCAATTTGAATCGCCCATAATTATAGTGATTAGAACATTAAAAGTGTTCCTAAATTTTCCATTGTTTGTCCGATTTCGTTTAAAACTTTACCTAGTCTGCTTCTCTGATTTTCTGCTTTCTCTTAGAATAATTTACTTTTTAATTTGAATTTTTCTTTAATGGTATTGATACAAACTTTCATCCACACAGGTCCCTATCCAAACGGACAAACTTCAGAATGAATTTGCCGTTCAGACGCAAGCGGGCGCTAGACGAGGCTGTTGCGGATCGTTGCAGCGATGGCAGAAGATCTTTATCGGTGTAGTGGCAACAATGCTAGTAGTTGGGTGCATCGGTTTCTTCACTCATCGAATGCTTGTACGTAGCGGATGGTGTGGAACTGATGATTCGGTATGTAAAAGTAGAGAGAGAGAGAGAGAGAGACAGAGAGGGAAAAAAGATAAATGGGGAATAAATATTAAAAATGTTCTAAACATATCGATTCTTATAATAGTTCAGTTCAAATCGATATTGGGTCCAAAATAACTTTTAACAAAAGGAAAACTTGGATCTCACATGGACTTTCCATGCTTAACTTGATTTTGAATGTAAGCCTGAAGCCAGCGCGGCTTTAAATTTAGTAGAATCAATACGAGCCAATCTGTTCTGGGGGGGGGGGATTTTGATTTGAAAAAAAATAAAAAAAATTAATGACATTTTTGCCACCATCACCATCGTGAAATATTTGGTAGAACAGACTGAGAAGCTGCTCCGTGTTCAAAACCAAATCAATGTGCTCGTGCTCTTAATTGGTAGAGCATTAACCCTCATTAGGAAGTCCATCGGAGGCGAATTAAAGCCGTCGGTCCCCCTTTGCTTACAAGCAAACACATGCTTTCTTAGTTGTTGGGTAAATCAGTCCCCATGCATACTGTAACAAATCAGTGTTTTAGTATTGGACGAAGGTTAAGCATTTTCTGTTGTACGAGCATGCGCTATAGCAATATGGTGCATCGTTGATTTAGCAATTACCAAACTGAAGGAAAATGAGCATAAATTACATATTTTGATCATGTTGGTGCAATTATCATGTTTCTTTTAGGGATATTACTTGTATAGTAATGATCTAATCAGGAATAAGGGGTTATACTGAAGATTATATGTGAAGATTTTATGGGATTAGTAGAAATGTTGTGTTGAAGTGTTGTTTTACTAACGAGGACATAATTGTTCTTTTATACGGTTATGTATAGGGAAATTTTTAGGATGGTCAGGGTTGTGCATCTAGGGCTTTCCACTGCACTGTATCCGATACAGGTCAGCCTCACCGAGGCTGGCCTGATAGTTGGCCTGATAGTCTTACACCTAGTCTACACTTGTACTTGTGTTGTTCGAGTTTACCCTGAATGTTGGTTGGTTTGCATTAAAGGAATTCAACATGCAACTCATGACTGGCCTGATTTCTTCGACAGTGAAACCGTAGTTAGATAATCAAGATCGAGAATCAGTGACTGATTGGTGATTGATTGATTGATTGCTCGAAGGATGTTCAATTGACTGTTGCTGTGCACAACGATTGGGGTGACCGATTGCAGTCGACGGATGCATGATTGTTGAGATACCCCTAGTACCTGTGAGCAGTGATAACTCCAGCCATCAAGCTACGGGCATATATTTTGTCCAAACGGACGGAGAGCGCCTGGCCAGATACGGGGCATCCTGACAAATATTCCGTGTCAAGCCAAGGTGGCGAACCGTGTCCATCACACATGGTGTCAGAAGTGGGATAGCTGATGGTGTGGAGTGGTCGAGCTGACGGAGCTAGTGGACGACGGCAGTAGCACTGACGGAGCTGGGGGACCACGGGCAGTAAGTCTGACGGCGTCACAAGCTGGTACAGCTGACGGAGCTGGGGGACGACAGGCAGTAAGACTGACGGCGTCACAGCTGGTTGAGCTGGGGGACGACGGGCAGTAGGTCTGACGGTGTCACAAGCTGGTAGAGCTGACGGAGCTGGGGGACGACGGGCAGGAGGCCTGACGGCGTCACAAGCTGGTACAGCTGACGGAGCTGGGGGACGACGAAGGGCAGTAGGTCGGACGGCGTCACAGCTGGTCGAGCTGATAAAGCTTGGGGGCGACGTGCAGTGAGACTGACGGCGTCACAGCTGGTCGAGCTGAAGGAGCTTGGGGACAACGGGCAGTAAGACTGACTGCGTCACAGCTGGTCGAGCTGACGGAGCTTGGGGACGACGGGAGGTAGCATTGACGGTGTTGCAGCTGGTCGAGCTGACGGAAATGCGGAACGACAATGGAATCGTATAATGACCCAAACATGCTGCCAGACTGGTTTGACGGGGAAATTCCCATACTGGACTACTTGGAGCATTTCGAAGCATGCGCAATCATCAATAATTGGACGGAAAGAAAGGCAACGCATTATCTAGCAGCCAGTCTACGTGGGCCAGCGTTGAGGCTACTGGGGAAGAATGGTGAGGTAGAACTGACGTACAGTGCATTGACCAGCAGGCTCATACATCACTTCGGACCTTCAGGAAAAGCTGATGTATTCTTGGCCGAACTACGTTCCCGACGAAGGAAGCCGAACGAGACCCTTCAGGAATTGGGCCAAAGTATCAGATACATGGCAGCAATGGCTTACCAGGAGTTTGGTGCCGATGGACAGGATGAGCTGGCTCGGGGTCACTTTCTTGACGCAATAATGAATCCAGCCATCCGAGAAGGTTTGTTTCGGGCTCAGCCACATACCCTGGATGAGGCTATTAAAGCAGCTCTGAACACGGAGGCTCTTCTTCAGATGGAAGCAGAGAGGGGAGAGTTGTGGTACTCTCACCGTCACAGCCACAGCCGGGTACTGACAGGTAGCGATCGGCCTCAGCACCCTGATAGCCCTTATACATCCGAAATGGTGAAGAAGATGGAGAAGGCGCTAACTGATCTTACAGCCAGATTGGAAGCACTGACCCGCCAAGTAGCAAGTACGTCGCAGTTTGGCAATACAGGGCCACACTCCCGGGGAAGACGTCAGGACGGGCCTTGTAATGATTGTGGCCAACAAGGACATTTTTCTTGGAATTGTCCTCATCCAAAGATGTTGTACGCACATGACCGTCCAGAAATGAAGGAAGCAGAGACCAGACGTTGTCACCAGTGCAATGAAGCTGGGCATTTCTTTCAGAACTGTCCTCATAATCCAGCTGGAGGCGATGGGGTGGCGACTAAGCACCCTGAACAAGACGTTGGTGGTTCAGTTACCATTCCACCAGATGAGGATTCAACGAATGTTGATGCACTTGGGGGGACGGTAGATGACATTCTACCAGACGAGGAGACGGCTGGGGATCCACCAGATACCCTTCTACTAGTGGACGAGGCAACCAAAGACCCGTCAGAGGCTATCCCAACAGATGACGAAGTAGCTGGAGACCCACCGGACAACAGCCTAGCAGCTGACGACACAGATACAGGGTTGTCAAACGATGTCCAGTCAGACAAAGAGCCTGTTGATTGCTTCCCGAATGTCGATCCTCTAGCCGGTGATGCGTTACCTAAAGATCCACCAGGTACTGGCCTAGCAGTTGGCGAGGTGATCAACGAGGTGTCAGTCGGCGGCCCAGTGAAGCATGAGGTAGCCCAAGACCCATGATTTGAACTCTAGAACAGTTGAACACTTTTGGAAAGAACCATTTTGAACTGTCAGAAAAAGACTTGGATTTTAGTTTTAATTTGTTTTGATAACATGTTATGATTTGTTGTTGTTGCATAAGTTAGAGATAAGTTAGCTTGGGGACCAAGCTTGGGAGGGAAGGGAATCGTGTAACAAATCAGTGTTTTAGTATTGGACGAAGGTTAAGCATTTTCTGTTGTACGAGCATGCGCTATAGCAATATGGTGCATCGTTGATTTAGCAATTACCAAACTGAAGGAAAATGAGCATAAATTACATATTTTGATCATGTTGGTGCAATTATCATGTTTCTTTTAGGGATATTACTTGTATAGTAATGATCTAATCAGGAATAAGGGGTTATACTGAAGATTATATGTGAAGATTTTATGGGATTAGTAGAAATGTTGTGTTGAAGTGTTGTTTTACTAACGAGGACATAATTGTTCTTTTATACGGTTATGTATAGGGAAATTTTTAGGATGGTCAGGGTTGTGCATCTAGGGCTTTCCACTGCACTGTATCCGATACAGGTCAGCCTCACCGAGGCTGGCCTGATAGTTGGCCTGATAGTCTTACACCTAGTCTACACTTGTACTTGTGTTGTTCGAGTTTACCCTGAATGTTGGTTGGTTTGCATTAAAGGAATTCAACATGCAACTCATGACTGGCCTGATTTCTTCGACAGTGAAACCGTAGTTAGATAATCAAGATCGAGAATCAGTGACTGATTGGTGATTGATTGATTGATTGCTCGAAGGATGTTCAATTGACTGTTGCTGTGCACAACGATTGGGGTGACCGATTGCAGTCGACGGATGCATGATTGTTGAGATACCCCTAGTACCTGTGAGCAGTGATAACTCCAGCCATCAAGCTACGGGCATATATTTTGTCCAAACGGACGGAGAGCGCCTGGCCGACACGGGGCATCCTGACAAATATTCCGTGTCAAGCCAAGGTGGCGAAATCGTGTCCGTTACAATACAAACACATCGTACATGTTTTAAAAAAGAAGAAGAAAAATAAAACTTACATCAATCTATTTTGTTTCTTTTCCTTCCAGCTTGAGAGAGGTCATCACCGATGGGATGAGATGAAAGGAGACCATGATGAGAGATTTGGAGAACATAATGGAATGCCAATGGATGGTAAGCAACCCATTCTGTCTGTAGTCTGTACCAATTCCCCTTCTCCCCCCCCCCCCCCCTTCTCCCCTCCCACTCATACCTCACCAACTCCTTTCTACCCAACACCCTCCAAAAAAAAAGTTTCAAAACGGACAAGAGGAACTTTTGGTGATCCCACTTGGTTTTAAAATGTTGACTATTACATAAGTCCGACTGGTCATAAAATTGACAACACCTGTTAATGGGTCGACATCCGAACATTGATGAATTCCCCATGCGATCGAGCCCACTAGTATAGGCCTTTAAATAGTTCTGTTCATGCTCCGATTCTCCATTTTAGGTGATGACAGAGATGGCCCGCATGGGGGCGGCAGTGAGGACCAGGACGGCCACGATCGACCAGGAAGCTCTAGCGAAGAGGAGGGCGATCATGATCACCACAAACGACCTCATCATGGATCCCACGATGGACCCGACGATGGTCCTCATCATGGACCCCACGGTGGACCCCACGGTGGACCCCACGATGGACCGTACGATGGCCCCCACGATGGCCCCCATCCCGGCCCGCACCACGGCACCCAGCGTCCAGAAGGTCCCTACGGCGGGGAAGACGTACCTGCTTGAGCAGGTTTAGACATTTAAGGCACTAACTTGTTCAAAATATTTGGAAATCACATCATTTGATTATTCACATGATTTTGTATACTAGGTATACTGAAGAATAGATTTTGATCGTAAGACGTAGAGCGCCCTCAGCGATATATTAGTGGAGAACACACAACACACACACACACGCAACTCATTCAACGCTAATATACATCCCACGTGTAACCCAATACAACCAAATGAGTATGTTTGTTTTGGTTTTTATTCAGATTACACTATGTACATAGTAAAAGGTTTTTAATCGTGGATTTATACCTTTTGAACTACACGTATTTGGATAGTGAGATCATTTTGTCTATTTTCAGTTATCTTTTTGAATTTGTAATGATAAGTCATTTCTTGGATTTCACTTTACCCCGAATTCTGCGTCATTAAATCATGATTTTCTTGAGGTCAAATAAATCCTTATTCGTCAAGTGAAAGAGGACACTGTTTTCACTTCAGGCAATGGGTCGGAATATATTTCTGGTAGACATCAAATCAACATTCAAGGGGTTAATGTACTTATATTGAGTGCCTAGCCTGGTGGCAGTACTTGATCCGTTTTGTGCCTTCCTTTTTTCAAATGTGAAATTGAGAAGCCTTAATATTAAAACAATCAGTCGGCAAAATATAAGTCAACGAGCATGCAGTTACACGCCTGAAATTCATTTACTAGCATTATGCTAGCATTAAACATCACTCATGAGGTCAAAGTTGATGGCATATTCTTGTCAAGATATAAAATCTGATCTCCAAAGAAATGAGGACTAATTTTTATTTTCAAAATCTTTGGATATTACATCATTTGATATAAACGTGATATTGTTTACTAGGTATTCTGTGTGTTGGAACTTGCAATCATATAACGCGGTAATCGGCTGTTGCTATAGACATTAATTAAAGTAATGTAGTTTATTTGGGCCCTGGAGGCTAATTTTTGATTGAATAGTTAGGATGTTAAAATGTTGATCGTCTGCACATGTTTTGCAAATGTTTTAATTTTCTTTTAGCTCTAAAGTTTCCCATGTTTTAACAAATTGATGTTTTATGAGTCATATACCCCTTTTCAAATGCTGTACATAAGAATGATCTTTATTTCAACCTTTATTTTTCAACAGATCATGAGATTTTTATGAATAAAATAGGTTTTGTAAAATATATACGAATCCAATAGGAAAATAGCTTGCTATGTATAGAAAGAAAAATAGTGTATATTTGTTTCGAATTCTCACAAGAAAACGAAAATTCAGCTTATCTGTCATAAAACTGTGTTTGGGCAAATAGATTATCGTTCTTTTAGTTTAAATGTTTCATTTTCTACACCTTATGTATATTTAGTAATTCTTGTTCTTCTTCTTGCTCTTATTTTTTTAACCTACTCTGCCTTTCTCTTTTTTTAAATATATATACATATACATACATATGTATGTAAAACTTTCCCCCTCCCCCTCGCTCTCCTCTCTCTCTCTCTCTCTCTCTCTCTCTCTCTCTCTCTCTTTCGTCCTATCCCTTCTCATGCTTAGAGGGTTTTCTTGATTGATTGATACCCATTGTGTCGTCATCAATGTAAATATACCCTTTCTTTACTTTCATTGGCTGAATTAATGCTAATTGGATTAATTTGGGTGTTTCCGATAAAAGCATCTTGCACCATACACGTTCGCCTATTGTTTGTCGTGTCTTTACTGTGTTTAGTTTCCCGTAGCTGTTCGAATATTCAAAACCTGACAAATGAGAGGTCTAGTGTATTAGCCGATGAGAAAATGATTGCTTAAACAAGAAAATGACTCTAAAAACGGATGGTTGTGTTACATCATGAGAAGGAAGAGTGAGTGAAAGACTAACAGAAAGAAGGAAAGTGATATATAAAGAGGGAGAGGAAAAGAGAGAGAGAGAGAGAGAGGGGGTAATACCAAGGCTCTTGAAATAGGTCTATGGGTTGACATAGAGAGAGGGAAAAAGACAAACGGAAAGAAATGAGGGACAGAGAGAGAGGAGGAGATAGGGAAAGGAAGTGAGGGGGACAGTGAGATGGGGGGGGGGGGGTTGTAAAGAGAGGTAAAGAGACAGCCAGATAATGGGGAGACAGAAATAAAGAAATAAAGGGGACATAAAAGGGGAAGGGGAATAGAAATAGAGAGAGTGAGAAAGGCAGAAAAACAGAGATAGAGAAAGAAAGAGTGGGAGTAAGAGGGGGAGGGGGTAAAGAGAGAGACACACAAACACAGTGATAGAGGGACAGACAGAGAAGGGGAGACAGGGAGAAAGGATGTAGAGAGGGGAGTGGGAATCGAGAGAGGTAGAGAAACTGAGAAAGAAAGATAGAGATAGAGAAAGAGAAACGAGAGGAGGAGCTAGAGAGGTTTTGTTAAAGGTAAAGACCAGTATTGGAAACGCCCCAATTTCAAAAAATGAAATGGAAGCTCTCATTACCAATCATGTGAAAGAATATGTTTTGACTAATACATGATGATAAAAAATTTGCCGGGAAACCGCCTACTAATTCATATATTTGGTAAATTTGTTTCTCTCATGGTCTGTGAGAGATATAGGGTAGTCCCATATACATCTTTCTGTGTATAGTGCTTGTAACTTTACGAAGAATGGGCCAAATTTCTTATCATTTTGATGATTCCAGAACCTTGCAATATGCAAGGTTCTGGAATCATCAAAATGATAAGAAATTTGGCATATTATGCTAGATGCTACAATGTAGATGATCAACCTTTTCTGATCGATTCCACAACGTTTCTTTCACAATACAATCGCATGACCATAACTGGTCTTTACCTTTAAGGCGCTGACTAAATTTCAGAGCAACTTTGAAGAATTAAAAAGAGAAGGAAAAGTGATACGTAAAGAGAAAAAGTGGTACGATTTAGGGTTGGAAGATGCCCTTTTCGTTAGGTTTCAACTTTATCTTAGGTTTGGTATTGAGGAGGGAGTAAGTAAGGATTTCGAATGAGAATTATTATAATGTAGTAACTCCATTTTACGGAAGGAGGAAAGATATGAATCATTCAGTTGCAGCAAAATGTAAATGTTGAATTTTTCATTTTTCATTTTTTTTTTTTTTTTTGGGGGGGGGGGGTGTACATCATTCTAAAATCAGGAACCTCTAAAAACACACTAACAAGTGATTTCGTAACTTATGATATTTGATTTCAATATAGATTTATTTACAGTTTCAATGCACACTACTCATCACAACACAATTTCAATTTCATAAATTTCTTTATTTAAGAAATACCAACAAATGATGAACCTGCTCAAGGTATATTTTTCTTTCTAAAGCTTACTTAAATGATTTTGCAAGGTTATCTTTAATTCTGGTAACAAAGAAATCTAAATTCTCTAATAATGATAATAATATTGGATATTTTTATATAGCGCAGACATCGACCACTCAAGGCGTTAGCATGTAAGCCGGCTATGCTAGCCTAACTTTTCGGTGCTAACAGCAGCCAAGGAATGTATTCCTACTGGTACCCATTTAACACCTGGGTGCAGAGTGGCAAATGTAGATTAATGTCTTGCCAAAAGACATTAGTGCCACGGTGGAACTTGAACTGCAACCCACGTGATCCACAGTCTGACGTTTCAACTTTTAGACCATGCACGAGACCTCTACAACTAAGCAAACTGTTTGAATTTAGAATAAACACAGTCAAGGCACGGGCAGAAAAGGAAAATGTAAAACAATTTTAGAGAAAGTGCATGTTATATAAGCCACTTCGGAGTTAATTAGCATTTTGTAAAAAGGACTCTCAAATATCCACAGATCCTTTATAAACATGGAGAAGTCCAACCTAGTTTATGCATCTTAGAATAATGACTACCAAAGTAAATGGAGACATTTCATGAATATCTTTTGGTTGCCCCTTTTGTAAAGAAAACTTCCCCCATGCGTATCATAGAATGTACCAGCGGTCCCTAAATAAATGAAGATTATAACATAACTTTCATGAGCACGTATCTAGTATTCATCTCCGTGGGTCTTATAATTACGTTCAAATGACCTTTATCTGTCAATATAGATTAGGATAGTATCTCCGAAGAAGTGGTTTATTAGAGAGGGGAGGGAGAGAATGATTGTGCATTAACTATGACAAGGGAGGACAAATTGCATAACACTTGCAGAGATATTAATGGCTTCAATATTTCGAATTCACAGGGTATTCAGATTTCAGTAAGTAATAGCAAACCACACACGAATACTTAAATCATCGATACACAGTTCTAACGAATACTAGAAATGGATATTATTCAAGCTATCTTTAATCTAATGCTAAATATATTACTCATTGCGGATGTAGTATCGAAAATAATATCGCTAGTGATATTCGTTTGTCTCGCATTGTATGGTCAACAAGGGATCGGAAAGATCACGACGTTTCGTGCGCCGCTGCACGAGCGATATTATTTTCAATATCTTTAATCTATTACAACATTGCACATAATCAATAAGGTGTTCCACAGGGATCGTTGCTATCCCCTGTTTTCTTCTAGGCTGCTAGACACCTGGCTGTGTTGCGTCTTCTGCTTTATTCCTCGCTGCTTCGGCTTCGGCTTCCTTCATGAGGTCGTTCTTGATGAAGGCAGCTTCCATGATGGAATGGATGGCCTTTAGCGCCCCAATCGTTGCGGGAAGGAGAGCGACGGCCTCGGCGGTATTCTGCTTCAGATACCTGTGGTCGTAATAGTATAAAATAGTTTAAAGCCCCACTGTACTACTAATAGCTACTTGCGCCCTCTATACAACAAACAATGCCTAATCGGTGCTTGTTGGTCCCCCATGATCCTCATTTTCTTATGTTAATTGAGAGCTGATTTGATGAGATAACCACCTGTCAGTGACCTTGCAGGGAGGTCAAATCCCCCTGGCCAAACTAGTACAGACGGCCTTTAATCTGTCAAATCTAAAAAAATTGTAAACGTAGAGGCAAACATTCATTATTAGCGAAATGATAGTCATTTTTTCTTTTTTCAAATTGAAATTGCGCAAATGGCAGTGTATTATTCTCACCCCTCTTATTGTGTAGAAAAAAACAGAGGGATTCAATTTTCACTCATTGAGAGAATCCACAGAGTATTTTGATCTAAAACTGTGCACGTGCTTTCAAAAAATCATTTTGCTGCTACATACCAATTTCGAAATAAGTTTTATCACATCCCTGATAAGGGCTAAGAAAGAGAAAAGAGGGGAGGCATGGGCCTGTTGTCCCCTTTTCCGTTCCCCCCCCCCCCCCCTCCCCACCACTCCATTTTTGTTTTAAAATAAATAAATAATAATTAAAAAAGGTGAAATTAAATAACATAAATCAATAAATAAATGAATCCGCCGGTGGTAGATGACTTTATATTTACTTTTCTACGAAGTCCTTTCGGATGGGTAATGTCTTGCAGGCGAGGCGTGCGGCTGTTCTGATTGGCAGGGCGTTGTGGGGAGCAAGAGAATCATCGTAAGCCTTCCTTGCTACCTGGGACATCTTCGTGTCGTCCTGGGCTTCACCCATTCTCTGTCAAGAATTGAAAAAAAGGGGCATTTCATTGACCGATTTTTTGTTGTTCCCTCGGGAATTCTGTTCTCCATCTCTTCTTTTTGATTTAGCTCCTTTTGGAATTAATCTCTTCATATAAACAAATAAATACTATACCTTCATGATGAGGATGAAGAATGCAACATCCCAGTGCATCTCCAGAAGGATCTTAGACGCCGCCGTGACACCGCCCTTGGTCTTCTTCTTGATCCCCTGAGCCTTCTCGTGGTCGAGTGCCTTGACGACCGCGGTGTAGACGGAACCATCTTCCTTGGTGAGGTTGTTGACGGTCTTGATACGGGAGCGCATGTCCTTGGAAGCGAAGTGAAAGACCTGGCCCATGCTGTCGTACAACCTGGTGCGAAATAATAATAATAGCTCACATTTATAATACTTTGTTTCTAGGCGCAGTACATATTATTACCCCGGTCATCGGATCCAGGCTTACCCGCACACAATGTATGCACATTATACACTCCCTGGGGAGTATTCCGGCCAGTCGCCATTTTACAAGTGCCACTTGCTCATACAACCACATTAACCTTTCGCATCCTACCGGGTAACCATTTTACACCTGGGTGGAGAGTGGCAAATGTAGATCAACGTCTTCTTGCCAAAGGACAATAGGGACTTTTAGATTCTGCACGACCAGAACGTGGACTGCCCTTTTAAGGCAATGTGACGTCCTTTTAAGGCACTGGCAGTGACGTCACATTTCCTTAAAAGGGTAGTCCGCGTTCTCGTCGTTTATAATCTAAAAGTCCCTATTAGTGTCTCGGCGGGACCCGAACCCCGTACCTTGTGATATGCAGTCGGGTGACTTATCCACAACACATCTACGAAATAGTCATGCGTTGATAATCATAAGTATCTCACCTTGCGATCTCATCGTAGCCCTTAAGGAACGGTTCAAAATCGACATCTCCAGCGGCAGACTTAGCTGCTGTAAAGTTATTCCTCACCACGGTCACGTCCATCTTGGCAGACAGGTTAACACAGTCTTGAACTTAGTTCTGATGATGCAATCAAACAAAAAGATAACATTTAAAAAAGAGACGCTTGGCAAATATGGGGACAGAGGAAGGAGGCTGTTTAAGATTGATGGGAGGTGAAGATAGAGAGAGAGAGAGTGGGAGAGAGAGAGAGGGGCGAGAGAGAGAGGGACGAGAGAGAGAGAGAGAGAGAGGGGGGAGGGAGGGACAGAGAGAGAGGGAGAAAGAGAATGAGAGGGGAGGGAGAGAGAAAGGGTGACGAGAGAGAGAGAGAGAGAGAGAGAGAGGGAGACACAGAGAGAAAGAGAGAGGGAGAGAGAGGGAGAGAGAGAGGAGGAGACAGATAGAAAGACTGAGAGAGAGAGAAAGAGAGAGAGAGAGAGAGAGAGATAGAGAGGCATGAAGGGGGTGTGGCACAGTGCCTCAAGCTGCCACGTTTACACAGTCCTTAAATTAAATCTGAAGATAAAATACAAATATTAATGATGATAAGGATGATAACAGTTGTGTCTTATCATTTACATAGCATGCACAGGAAACCCTCCTGAGTATTACTACATGCATTTCTCTCCCTGCGCGCCCTGCGATAACGATTACCACAGCATTGCCAGGTACCCATTCTACATCTGGGTCGAGAAGGGCGAATGTGGATAAAATACTGGGTGCAGGGATAAATGCATCGAGTGAGGATCGAACCTATGACCTGCAGAAGTTCAAGAGCTTTCACTAACATTTGCTCCCACATATAGATTGACAGAGCTGTGTTATCAGTGGCGGTTATGAGAAAGGGAGTGTACGATTTTGGCTCTGAACTTGCGCCCTCTATATAGAAAACAATGCTTAATCGGTGCCCGTTGGTCCCCAGTGATCCTCTTTTTCTTATGTTAATTGAGAGTTGAGTTGATGAGATAACCACCTGTCAGTGACCACGCTGGGTGTTCTAATCCCTCTTGGCCAAACTAGTACAGACGGGCTTTAAAACAATGTTGAACGTTCGCATGGCAGATTATGAGGGCAGAGGAAGCGGCGTGGGTGGTTGGGGGGGGGGAGGGGGGGGTCTGATCTGTGAGATCAGTAACGGGTTAAAAGGGGAGGGGGTGGGGGCTTCATCTGAAATGTTGGTGCAGTCTTGAGTTTAGTTCCAAAGATTAGATACAACGAAGAGATAAAAACATAGTTTAAAGTGTGAGACAATTGGTATATACGGGGTAAGCAGAGGGGATCGTAGCATATTGGGAGGTGTGTGTGTGTGTGTGTGTGTATGTGCGTGTGTGTGTGTGTGTGTGTGAGAGAGAGAGAGAGAGAGAGACAGAGAGACAGAGATAGGGGAGAGAGAGAAAAAGAGAGACACAGAGACACAGAAAGGGGGAGAGAGAGAGAGGGAGAGGCAGAAAGAGAGACAGAGACAGAGACAGAAAAAAGGAGAGAGAGATGAAATATGTAATATATACCTTTAATGTGCATTAATGTACATTAATCGGTATTCTTTTATAATTCGATCATTAGTACTGACATTGAATTTCTTATTGAATGCAGAAACAGAGTAGCATATTCACATTAATTAAACAGAGAGTTTTGCACATAAACAAATGTATGATATCTAAAGTTAAAAAATAAGTCAGGTAAATTATTTTCCTTCTATGAAGAAAACTGACGAACAAAACAGTTGTATGGGATTAAGTGTTTGCCAACTGATTCCACAGCAGCGAATGCATTGGAACAAATAATAATAATAATAATAAAAACGTTACTTATAAAGCGCTTACCACCGAAGTCTCTAAGCGCTATACACACAAAATAGACTGATATACAATTACATCTTATACAAAACTAAAAATGCAAATAAACCTACAAATTACAATACATATGGAATACACATCAAAGTGAACAGAGTTAATTAATCATCGAACGCAATTTTGAATAAATGTGTCTTGAGACTAGTTTTGAATAGGTTAACGGTTTGACAGTTTTTTACATTTAAAGGTAATCTGTTCCCAAGTTCAGCAGAAGCTTTGCGAAAGGAGCGATTACCATAAGAGAGAGTTGACACAGAAGTAGATACGAGGTTTAATTGTGAAGAAGACCGTAAATTGCGTGAGGGTTTGTATTCCTCGATTAATTCTTGCAGATAAATTGGTGCCAATTCATGAATGCATTTATAAGTTAAAACTAAGATTTTGTACATAATGCGGTATGTCACCGGCAACCAATGCAATTCGCGAAGTACTGGGGTGATGTGTTCACAAGAACGCGTGCGTGTTACAAGCCTGGCAGCAGAGTTTTGGATTCTCTGGAGTTTTGCAATGTGCGACTCCGGAAGGCCATAAAGAAGGCTGTTGCATTGATCAAGACGGCATGTAATAAATGCATGTATAAGCGTTTCGGTAGATTTTTTATCAAGAAAATTTCTAATACGACCTATCTTGTACAAGGCATATGAAGCTGAGCGACAAATATTTTTTATATAATCATCCATCCTAAGATCATTTTCAAAGATGACACCAAGGTTACGTGCACTTTTGACAGGTTGTATCGGAACATTAGCAATTTCGACAGATGGTAAATGGGAGGACTTTCTGAATCGAGATGTTACATGTATCACCTCAGTTTTATCCTCATTCAACTTCAAATCATTAGCAGTGGACCAAGCTTTGATATCATTTATACATCTTTCAAGTTTAGTAATAACAGAATGGTCGGAATCACGTTTCAAAACAACATAAACTTGGGTGTCATCTGCATATATCATTCGGCCTAAACCATGCGCTTCAATAATATCTTCAAGTGGTGCAGTGTACAGAGTAAATGATAAAGGGCCGATGACGGATCCCTGAGGAACACCTTCAAGTGGAACATGATGTTTGGATAATGAGTCATTAATGACAATAGATTGTGAACGATTCATAAAGTAGGTTTTAAACCAATTCAAGGCAGTACCTGATACACCATATCTATTACGTAAGCGATCAAGAAAAACATCATGACTGATAGTATCGAAAGCCGCAGAATAGTCTAAAAGTATTAAAACAGCTTCATCACCTTGGTCCACAGCTAACAACAAATCATTATATACACGTAAAAGAGCAGTTTCAACGCTATGAGAAGATCTATAAGCAGATTGCATTTTACTACACAGATTGTTTGATGATAGATAGCCCTGAATTTGAGAAGCACAAGCACGTTCAATTGTTTTAGCAAGAAACCATATGATGAATATCATGTTACATTATAGCCCCTATCATTTATCTGGTGAATAAAGACTTGATGTAGGAAATCGAAATGGAGGACAAAGAATGTATTACGTTACATAGGTGAAATATCAGAGTGATCAATTAGGTGTCTAGTGAATACATGAGAGGCACACGTGTGCGTACGGCTAGGAGGTGTTAATAGATAGGCATAATTATATCACAGTACTGGCACTGTACATACCGGTAATAGTTTTGTAAAATGTTGTAGTAGACGTTTAAAGATAACATGTAGCGGATAAAGTTGAGTTCTGGTCATGTGACTTGCGCTGTGAAAGTTATGCCTTCGAAACGCTTGGGAAATTATTGGATTGGATGGAATATGTGGCATATATGAATAAATGTTGAGGGTTTGGAGGTTATTCTAAAGTACAAGGAATCAGCTCAGCATCACTACACTTTACATGCCATGTACACAGAAAGGTGAATTGCCGTTTGGTCCATAACCAGTTCGTCTACTACCCAATTAGTCTATTCCCATATGGTCTACACCTAGCCTATCTACTGGTCTAATAATCATTTCGTCTAATAGTCATTTGTTCATATTTCCACATGGTCTAATCTCCAATTAGTCTACTACCCATTTGGTCTATTGTTCATTTTGTCTAATAACTAGCTGGATCCACTGGAATTAGGCTAAATGAACCATAAACTAAAGTGGTAGTAAACTTAGTGGATATTAGACCAAATGTAAATTATACCAAATGACTAATAGTCTAAATCATCATTTAATTAGACCAAGTGATGAGTAGACGAAATGATTATTAGACCATCTGGATAGTAGACGGGTTGGGTGTAGACCATATGGGAATAGACCGATTGAGTAGTAGACGAACTGGGTGTAGACCAATCGGCAATGAACCTACATTTAGATATATGTATTGGAACATACACTTGAAATATTGCAGCTATGTCTTGTCGCATTACGAATACTTCAATTCGTGGGGCAGTCGCCTTAAGCCGGGGACAATCACACACACACGCACACCCACACATAAAGACACAAAAAAATGAACCAGCTCACAAAATATTATTCATCGTTCGAAGAGCTCACTGAACTGAATCTTTAAACTTGTACATTGTCTGTTGCAAGAATAATCTCCGTGATAATTATCAACTATTGAATTTATAACGTCCATTTTCCTGCCGGTATATATAGATAAGAGAGCTAAGATAACTTATTTCCAGTCTTCCATTGGTATAATGAACACTGCAAGGCCGGAAAGCATTGAGCAGATGGGAAAAGAATAAGTACATTGAATTAAATGTGATCTTAAAGACTTCCGGAAAAATATAGCCTAAAACAGTCACAAAAGCCATATTAATCACCCATTTAAATGTGCAATAACGTACTACGAAATCGGAACATGATGTCTATGGCTTGTACAATTGGGTATTAAATTGCCCCTTGATTTAATTTCGCGAATGTCTTTGCAATCAAGCTAGCAAGATGAGCTTTGAGGTTTTCGATTAGTTACAACCAGCCTTACTTTAGTACATAATTTTTTTTTGTCATGTGTAAAATTTGCAATGTTTTGTTTGTTATATATTTGTAAAACTGCAAAAGAAAAAGGAAATAAAACAGAAGTAAATAAATCAAATCAAATTATCTACCTGTGGTGGGGTTGCATGTGTGTTTTTTTTGTTTTTTTTAAAGTTCACGGAAACTTTAAACTTCAATTATTAACCCATTGTCAATTAGAACCAAGTGATTTCTGTGTCAATCCAATAGGAATGAAAGAATCCTGGGGGTGTTTCACAAAGATCCTAAGTTGAACTTATCTCTAAGTTGGACTTAAAAATTATGGAAAGCCGTTAACATCTTTGAAAATATTTTGTAAAAGTTATTCTAAAAAGCATTAGATGTTGATTCAAATCATTCATATTTTCTATTATCAAGGAGATTACATGTTCTTGATGTGGAATTTATGGAAAGTCTAAAATACTTCAATGTCTGTTTATGAATATATCTTATTTTAATGCTACAGATCGCTCTCCATTAATTTTAAGTCCAACTTAGAGTTAATTTTTACTTAGGATCTTTGTGAAACACCCCCCAGTAGTCAAGAGGTTAAATAATGTGAAAAATTACTTATCCTCTCCAAGCGCTATAGTTAAGAAAGATAACCAACAGTCTTTTTCAAGAGTATACCAACAGTCCTTTTCAGGACTAACAAACCCTCAAGAAAGATTACCGAGAGTCCTTTTCAGGACTTCTTAATCCCCCCTCTCTCTCACATGGTGCACCCGCAAGCCTACTGTGTAATGTGAAAGATGTTATCAAAACTTACCAGAGGTGGGTAAAAATGAAGATTTCGAAGACCGTCCTATTGGGAGCACACCTACAAACACGTCTGGTCCGGTTCATTGAATGTCACCGAATAGAAGCCTGGACTAATCCAGGGTTTTACCGTAAGAATCCAGATAGCTGGTATATCAATGATACTAGCTACTCGACAGTAGAGATAAGATACCAGTATTTGTCCTTCTGAAGGTCAAAGGTTAACCTATTGATCATGATGACGAGACGGTTTGGAGAACGATACGCTGATTTGATCGTTCAATCGTGCATGCCCCGCCCCCTTTCTGAACCAAATATTAATGTAGATACAACAATTGAGCAGCTCCACGCACGCCCACACCCACACCCACATACCCGTCCACACACACGCACACACGCACGCACACACACCACACACACACAGAGTTCCACATACGCTTGTTTATTACGTATGATTGATGTAAGCCTATCCTAATTGATGTTATGGTTTAATAGAAAAGTGACAATTACCATTTCAACATTATAGTCGATAATTGATACTTTTCTTGAATTTTATCTTGTTTTGTAAAATTAATGTATGCATTTGTATGTCTTGCTTGGCAATTTTAACAGATTCATGTTTAGTGTCTTATCTATGAAAATAGGCTATTAAAATCAATATTACAATTACAAGTACAAGTTCAATTCCTATTACATTTACTATTAAAATTAATATTGCACTTAATATTACAATAGTTACCATTATAATTAATATAACGATAGTTACTATTACAATTATGTTTAAAATTACATCTACTATAACGATGACTAATACATTTACTATTACTATTACTATTACAATTACTATAACGATTATTAAAATAATAAGCAAATAACTACCGTTGGTGAAGGTGATGGGACAAACTATCACTTTCGAGGCGATCTGGATGTAGCTATCTTTCCGAAGCGAAGCTGAGGAAAGATAGCGTAAACATTCAGATCGCCGCGGAAGTGATAGTTTGCCATCGCCTGAAACCAAAAGGTAATTATTTGCTTTATATTCCACATCGAAACATTTCACTTCTTCCGTCATTTTAGAGCAACAAGTCATCAATTAACATCTAGCAAACGGTATACGAAACGTACAGTGTATGCAGTATGGTGGTGTGATCATATAGTTCGCGCGTGACCAAAGTTCGAGTACTAGGCGCTTAAAGAGGAGAGCAATACGCAGCGTATACAATTAAAGTGCGTTGCACTGTGTAGATAATACTACTATCTACACAGTGCAACAAACTTTTCTTCTCCCATCAATCCCATCAATGATGGGCGAACTATCTTTCATCACATGATTTACTTTTGACCAATCGTAGAGCAAGATTCTTAGTATGTGGAATATAATTACTTTTATTTCTAATACAATTACTATTACAGTTAGTATTACAATTACTATTATAATTACTCTTACAGTTATTACTATTGCAATAAGTACTATTACATTTAATATTACAATCACTTTACAACAATTACTATAACAATTACTATAACTACTATTAAAACGATTATTACACACTCACATTTAAACACAGAATTGATCTATTTTAATTGAACAATGAGTAACCTTTACCGTGTATTAGTTCTCGTAAGGTGATAACTAATCTTAACGTATCGATGTCAAGTAAACACTTCCGACTGACTGAGATTCGACAAGAGCGATGCAAACATTCGGAAGATCGTTTTCCTGTCTGTAATCAATGAATGACGCACATAGCCCTAACATACATGGATAGTTAGATAGATAGATGGATACATTGTATTTTATTGCAGCTTTTTTTTCATGAATGGCACTTTCACAACTGAATTGCACATGAGTTACACAAATTGAAAATATATACATCGTACACAATTAGAGAACATTTAGATAAAATTATTAAAACGTGTCACGTTACTCCTGCCGAAATACCATAAACAATTAAAAAACATTTAATGAACATAATTTCAAAAATGTTAGTTTCAAGCATGTGTATGCTCTGACTACGACTGATCAATACCCTAAGCTATTACAACCTTACCCTAACTATAACCTTAGGTTAAGCTTTAAACCTAATGGAAATCCTTTCTCAGACAAACTGGAGCGTGATAAATCTTTGACTATTTCCTTTTCTTCGGTTTTTTGCTGTTTAAAAAAAAACAAGAAGTAAGCATTTAGGGTTTGTTCATCCTTTTAGCTCACTTTCTACGATTCGGTTACATATTTTTTTTTAAAGATGATATTCAATGTTTAATGAACAGGCTGTGACATCCTTTAAGAAAATGTAAAATATATATTTCAAACTTTTGATTGATTAGTTGTTTTGTAGGTTTGGGATTGATTAATGAATTCATTCATTCATTCACTCATTGGTGGATTGATTGATTGATTGATTGATTGATCGATGTAGTAATTGATTAAGTGCTTAACTGGTGAGCCGGTTGGAATTTTTATCGATGGTTCCTTTGGTTAAATTTTTTGTCAAATTGATTTATAGGTATCAACCCTCCTCATTTACTACTTCTTAGACCTTCAAAGATGCATAGTCAATCACCAGGATTAGCCTACAGTTTTATGATCAACAGGCATTATGTAATACTTTGCATTTTCCACCAATCGTCCCATATGGAAAATCTTAAATTTCCCTCACCCGAAGACTCTCCGACGAGTTCGAAATGGTATTTCAATAACAAAAATTGGTGTCAGCGAATTACGACCTACTGCACAAGTAAACTTACCATATACAATCTCCTTTAAGATGAGCTTCTAGACTTAACGTGATTCACCAGTATAAAAATAATCTAATCAAGACAACACGAATATCATGGCTAATTCTAGACAAGAACATGACAAAAGATTGTCTGAGTAAACCAATTAAAGCTTATTCATCAAAAGATAAAATGCTTGACATTAACAACTTCTGATAGCATACGCAAGGTCATTTTCATATCCAATCGACTTACATTTGTCAAGTAGGCAAGATAAACATAGCACGTGACTGTAATCATGTAATCATGTTTAACTAATCAACAGCGATTAGTTTACGTCAATTCGAATGAGGTTCAAACTCTGCTTATCAATATTCATCATAATTATGAACGAAATCAGTGCACAGGTTTGTAACATGCTATTTGTGTAATTTAAAACAAGGTTAACGCTTCGTTAAGATATGATGCGGCTATAACCGCGGTAATAACCGTGGCATATTTTAAATGATGATGTAAAGTATAGTACGCTTCGCATTTCTGTGTCTTTTAACACAGAGCTCATGATCAAGAGACCTTTGTTTAGCGAAGTTTTGCATTCATGTATACGTTTAAAAAAACGCGGCTGCTTTTTTGCGGCGGTTTACCGCATCACATCTAAACCGGCCTTTACTGTTTTTTTCTCTCAATTTATGCATGCTAATCTCTAGAACCCCCTGGTTACCATCTAGTCGATTCCCCCTGCTATGTAAAATCGCATCTCTATAGATGAGATTCACGTTACATACATGCGTTGTTGCTATGTCGGACAAGGCTCTCCTAAACTTGTCGGTCGGCAAGAGAAACTTGAAAAGGTATCCATGAAGTAAACACGTCCATCGACTCAAATTTGTCAAATAAGCAAGCCCATTATTACTTGTACCTTTAATCATTGTAGTGAGGGTTACGTTATTCTATTACGTCATTTAAGGAAGTCACACGTAGCAGTCCACTATATCGACGTGCATATCGAAAAGTCCCTAAGCTATGAGGGACATCAGTGCACACGCCTTTAAAAGGCCATTCTCGTAATATAATCATATGTATACAAGCTTTTGCTATATCCTAACCAAATGATTGTTCCAACGCGGTCACGTGTGATTCATTTACTGAGTCTGTCACAATTATTTAGTCAATGAAAAAGCGTGCAATTGTTTTCAGTACTATCCAACGATTTTTAGAACGCGAAGCGCATGCAGTGCTAGGTGCGTGTAAAGGTTTAAAAGTGCACTTTAAGTTTAAAGGAAACAAAACAAAGTTTCTTATTGTTTAGAGATTTATTATATTCTTGCCCATTAATCTACAAGATTCCCCACCATAGTGTATGAGAGAGGCATGGAGTAAGAATAATATAAAGTTTTTCAGCACGACATGGGCATCGCCATTTTCTTGATAACTTGACGAATATGTAAAGTCGTTTATGAAGTAAATGTATTCAAATTTATGGATGATTCTTTCCCAGACGTTTGTGGTGATAAAACATTTCAGTTATCTGCTATTATCCTTTGTACTACAATTGCCAGAACGTAAAATTGCATAAATAAGTTTGTGCTCTTCTGGGGTAAAGGTTTCTCATGAATATTCTCGTTTCAGAATACCTGCACTTCTTCTTTGGGGTGAGATTTCCTTTGAAGAGATAGTTGAGTTCTGTTGCAGAGGGCGCAACACAAAATAATTTTGTTTGTCACTGAGATAATGAAAAACCGAGTGTCAAATTTGAAAGAACATACAATTTAAATGACAAAATCATCTTTGATAATGACACAAATCAACAGTTATACAAATTAATGTTTACGTCAAACAACAAGGAATTGTCAGTTCTTTGTAATAAACAATTGGTCCATGTTTTCATGCGTTTATTCAACGATCTACACGCGCTCTTAATCTGCTAATGCACCTATAGGCCCGGTCACACAGCCCCTCCACGAGCGTATCGCGGCCGAATCACGGCCAAAAATTTCTGCCCGTGAAGCAGACGCTGTTGGACGCTTTGAGGTCGCGATAAAGACGCGATACAGCCGTACTTTACCCGTCGTTACACGCGGTAAGAAATTCACACGCGGTTGGCCGCGCGAAAAAGTTTTGGGCTGCCCAAAAATTTTGACCGCGGGTAATCGCGGGCGGTACACGTGGTACACACGCGGTAAAGACGCGGTACAGACGCGGAACGAACGTGCTAGGACGTGCTACGGCCGCGGTTAAGACGTGGTTACACGCGGAATTGGACGCGAAATTTTAGCGGGTAATCGCGGGTGGAGCACGGTCATAGCACGTTTGTTCCGCGTCTGTACCGCGTTGTTATCACGTGCATTAGCGTGTGTACCGCGTGTAAGCGTGGTAGGCCGCGGTACCGCCGCGCTTCACCCGCGATAAGGACGCGGAACAGTCGCCGGCGTCTGTTCCGCGGGCATACCACGGGTAAACCGCGGGTAAGCCAATTTTGCACATTTTCCACCACGGGCAACCGCGGGCAAAAAAAAATCGCGAAATTTTACCCGCGATACAGACGCAAAAGGCTGTGTGACCGGGCCTTATCATAGAATAATGCACATACAGCCTCGACTCGAGTACCGGTAGGTCGTATAATGAACTCGTTCGCATGCGTCATTTGTATATAAATGCATACTTCTTATTTTATGAGGTCCTCGATCGTTACGGATTTATTCCATTCACGTGCCCCGATATAATATTTTCATAGAACAAATTCCATAGGCCTTCATCACGTGCTGTTAGGGAAAGGGCAGGCCATAAAATCTGTCCGACAAAGTAGCAACCAATGTATGCTTAATTTGCATTCGGCTATTGATATCACAGCTAGGTGAATGTATAGTAGCTCGTCGCAAGGTTGGAAACCTGTATGAATTTAAACACACTTTGGAAATGATCTATTAAGAAAAAATGCGTGTAATGGTATCTGTTTCGGTTTCCGGTCTGCATTTGGCAACAGAAAGATGAACTCATTGTGGCAGTAAGGTCACGTGCGAGGCTTTCCTATTTGTATTGGCATGCCCATTGAACCGCCCACACATTTCAGTAAACACGCTAAACGTATTGTTGATAAATGTATTATATTATATGATCTACTGGTGTCAACAACAAGGAAGAAGGCAAACAACTATACGAGTAAAATGGCGTCGGTAGTCCGACATGTGTTAGTTCCGTGTATGATTGTGCTACTCGGTTTGTCTTGGGTGGCTAACGGGGTTGATTTCCAGAGGGGTCCGCCGCCTTGCCCTTGTTCTGATCCAGCTCTGTGTGATCCTATACGAACCACTCCAAAGAAGGAGGTGAGAACATTATGAGCTGGAAGGATTTTTGATTATTATTGCACCATTTTCAATTTCCATTTTTGCAGGTTAAAATTGCATTTGGGGTCAATATTTAATTTGCTGAATATCAGTTAAATTGCATTTTGTTTTACTGGTCGAGGTTAATCAGCATGATTAATCTGCCTTACTTTATTTTTATAATACCACTTATACTACTGTTAATGATGATATTACTACTACTTCTACTACTACCACTACTACTACTTCTACTACTACTACTACTACTACTACTACTACTACTACTACTACTACTAATTCTACTACTACTACTTCTACTGCTTCTACTACTTCTTCTATTTATACCCGTACTGCCGTTTCTACTACTACTACTACTACTACTACTACTACTACCCCTACTGCTGCTGCTGCTACTTCTACTACTTCTAGTTCTACTACTACTACTTCTAATACTACTACTACTACTACTACTACTACTTCTACTATTACTACTTCTAGTACTGCTGCTGCTACTTATACTTGTACTGCTGCTTCTACTTCAAGTACTACCACCACTACTAGTACTACTACCACTACTAGTACTACTACGACTACTAACTAGTACTGCTACTGCTACTGATATTACTACTCCTCTTGCTACTGCTACTACAACCACTTCTACAACTACTACTACTATTACTACTGATACTACTACTACTACTACTACTACTACTACTACTACTACTACGTATACCTGTACTGCCGCTTCTACTACTACGACTACTACTACTACTACTACTTCTACTACTACTTCTACTTCTATTATTATGACTAATAATATGACTCCTCTTCCTCCTGCTCGACTTGTACTAATACTATTACGGCAGCTACAGTACACTTCTTGTTTTCTTCCCCAGGCTTTCGTTAGCACCGCTTTGCCTTTCCTCCCTTTTTAGTGACGTAATAATAATATAATTGCTCGGCGTTTATTTACAGATTCACGTATTTTCTGCCAATGGAGCCAATTGGAGGGACTACTTCTGGGACAACATCACCACGGTGGCTGTACAAGATGGCTTTGATCCTCAGATGATGTGCCACGCCCACTCTAAGGGTGTGCGGATCGTTGTATGGGGTACGTTCACTCTTCAGGGGCCCGTTTCACGAAGCCTTTTTCCAATGACAAATGACAAAAATCAGTGACAAATCTGCTGATAACCAATCAGAAGCAAGGATTTCAGTAGCTTATAACAAAAATTGTCATTGTCACTGATGATAAGTTTTGTGAAACGCCCCCCCCCCCCCAGATTTGCAACTTTGCTCATCGTTAGGCGCATGTTTTTCTTTAATGTTCTTTAAGGATTTATTTTCTACATCAATATAATTCCAGATAACCAATTAAAAGTAATACACATTTTTGAGAAATTTTCAAAATTGGCTGGATAGTGATTATTTACAATTATGATATATTTGGATGCTCCTGTTGATGTATTATAAGCACTAGAAAATTTAGCCTCTGAAACACTTTTGCTTTCGAGAAAAATTGAATATCAAAATTTACCGGTGCTGCCGGTAAATTTCGATAAATTTCAAATAGCGCTTACGGCCATACAATGGTAGCTGCGACCGTAAAAATCTCAGAATATGTAGTCGTGATATATAATATCCAAACGGAAATAGCCAATTGGGCGATTTTGGTCAAGAATCATTGTTTTATGGCTGAATTAATATCTTGACCTTGATAGAGAGAGCTATACAACATAAATAGTTTATTATTTACATTTTCATAACTTTAGACTCGATTTCACTCGCGACAACGATCACTGAATATTGTAGGATCGCATATGCTTCCAATATGTTCATTTGAACCAAATTCATGACCCCATACCAAAACTTTGTATTACCTTTAAGTCTTCATCATGTTTATCTGATCGTTCCATGTCATGAAATCATGCAGGTTCCTTTTCCGTTCAAACTCTCTTCAACGAGAGCGCCCGCAACGCCTGGGTCGAACGCACCCTGAACTACGCTGTTGGGAACTTCACGGACGGGTATAACATAGACTTTGAGATGCCACTGCTGAAATCCCAGGCTCATGTGCTGACAGCGTTGGTCAAACAGATCAGGGATGCATTTAAAAAGGCCTTGCCATACTCGAAAGTGAGTGGATTTTTCTTAATTATGGATATTTTCATTGTTAGCGTCGTGACCTAAAATTAGTTGTACTCTTGATCCCAATCACGATCCCTTTTCTTCATCATCATCATCATTACCGATATATTCATAATGGAACTTATCATCATCAAAATGACCTTAAATTACAGTTTATTGGTCGTTTACTTGATTGTACCCGTTCACCATTCTACTCTGATTTCCCATTCACGAACTCGTTTCATCATCATCATCATCATCATTACCGATATAATTATAATGATAATTGTCACCATCATCATCACTATCCTCATCATCATCATAAAAATGCGCCTCAAAACGATGTAGATTAAATAAATCAATAACATGTTAACAGAGTGAATTTACATTATACCCGTATTTTTACATATTTGTTTTAAGTGACATAAATAATAAGTAAACGAGATGTACAATTCGATTCTCTGGTTTGCCTTAAAAAACTAATTATATCACCTTAACAAAATAGTTGTAGATTATATAAATGAGATGTCCTACGGATTGAATATAAATTATGTCTCTCTCTCTCTCTCTAAGTGCCATATCGTTTGACTTTGGCAATCATGCTGTTCCACAACTCCTAGCCTTCTGTATTAGTACCACTCCCAGTTCTTTCACTCCTCTCTCTTCCAACAATGTCTGCAATCTGTCCATCCAAAGTATCCTCCTTCTTCCCACAATTTTCCCTGTCAAAGCAAGATTCTCTAGGCCTTCTTTACGTGTAATGTGACATATGAACTTCAACCGCCTAATCAACATCTCACGTATCACTTTCCTTTGCACTCCAGCTCGTGTAAGAACTTCCTCATTAAATCCAGGGGATTTAGTACCGTGCAAAATTATGACATAAGAAAACAATACACAAGTCGATGATCCGATTTGACGTTGATTTTCATGGTTCTCTCCATCTCAGGTAACGTTCGATTCTGCTTTCTCACCTGACTGCACGTTCTTCGGTCGATGCTTCGACTACCGTTCCATAGGCGAGATCGTAGACTACATCCTCATCATGGCTTACGACGAACTCGATCTTGTAGGTCTGAAGGCCATGGCCAATGCACCACTCAATATAACAACACAAGGTAATCAGTCAGGACATATTAATGTCCACTTTCCACTATTTCCCATGATAACATGTGTTCGCTATTGGCGGGAGAGGGCGCTTTAGCAACTTGTACTACCAAGTGTGTCCATAGCCACTAAAGAAGTGTTGAGGTCTGATGAATAAGGCTTCAGATTCAGACTGTGAACCACAATGCGAGAAGTTAGAATCCCTCCAACAAAAATAAGGTCCTTTGCCAAGAATTTTAATCTACATTACGTTTGCCACACTCCACCCAGGTTAGCTAAATTGGTTCCCGGTTCGATTATTCGTTCAAATGAACTGAGCGCTAGTAACGGTCACCGGAGCTAAAGCCAACAAAACCAACAATTTTCATAAAATAGGGCCCAGGTGTCTCCTACGAGAGTCAAGAGCCTCCACCCCGTTACCTCACTGCTTCCATGAAAGCCACTTGATTATTACGATTAAACGAATTCCCCTTTACCGAATGCTGAATATTAGCTTAGTATCTTATGGTAATTGAGCTCAAAGAATCGGTAAACTTTACTATAAAACAGAATATCAAAGTCATAGCAGTGTTTCTTGAAGACATTTTTTCCTCAATCATTTTGTAGGTGTGGATGACTTCATCAAAGCCGGTGTACCTCCGGCCAAGCTTGTACTTGCCAATCCTTGGTACGGCTATAACTTCCCCTGTACGCTGTTAACAAAGGTAACTTGAAAACCAGTTCTGTAAGTTCAGTTCAGTTCAGTTCGGTTTACTTTTAGTTCTGATATGTCTATTTCAATTAGACATCTACCCCGGACAACTATCTTAGAGGGTTGTTGTCCGGGGGTAGTTGTCCGGGGGAAGCTGTCCTAGGCGGTAGTTGTCCCAGGGGGTAGTTGTCCGGGGGAAGCTGTCCTAGGGGGTAGTTGTCCCAGGGGGTAGTCGTCCTGGGTAGGTTTCCTTAGTGGGTATCTGTATCTGTCTCTGTCTCTGTCCGTGACGTACAATCACCAGCATCTGGTTGTCGCGTACGACGTCGTCCGGGGGTAGTTGACTGGGGTGGTTATCCGGGGGGGGGGGTGGATGCCCAGGGGGTAGGTGTCCGGATACGCATTATACCACTTATCTCATTGACAATAATGTTGTCAGTCTGTCCGTAGCCGTCGGGTTAAGCCCCCAAAGTCAGCTTGATTTCATATTTATTATGACCCAACTAGGAAATGAAATCGATTTATAAGAAAAAATACAAACCGAGATTTTTTCCGAAACAAATTTGTATACTTGTCAATACGCGGGTTGAGCACGTCGATCACACTTGATTTGATTCTATATACAATTGACCTGACCCCAGAAAATGATATCGGAGATTCGCGCAAGCGCAGACGCTATCTTAAGTGACTTTGGACGGTAGGAAAGAGCTACTCACTACTCATACATGACTGCTACTCAATACTTCGTTCAAGCTGGTTATTGGTTTATTTTTTCTTTAGAACGACACTTGCAATTATAAGTTGGGTACATGGAAACAACAAGGCTATGGTACTATCATGGAACTACTGGCGAACAACTCTACGACCGGTCGAAAGTGGAGCGAGGAATACCAGTCACCATATTTCGATTATAAGGTGAACTTAAAAAAATATTGATGAACCTGATAATGATAATTATATAATATTGAATGGCCTTCAGTGGGATACAAGGGTATGTCACACGAGCTGATAGGCATGTTTCGTCGAAACGATCACGAGTGAAATATTCCCCAAACGAGTGCGATATTATATAAAAGATGCATAGCAGTGAGGGCATTAGTAAGAATTACCCACGCAAGGTACCTTTAAATTTGGAACAATCTAATAACACGCCCGAGGCGATATGTGTTTGACACCGAGTGTGGACAATTTTACTTATGCCCGAACAAAATGATGTGTTTTTATAAGATGATGTTTTATTTGTTTTATAATAAGGATATATTGACTGCTTTGAGAGGCATAGTGGTTTCTATAGGGTCAAGGGAAACTCACAACCTGCTATGACCCCAAGGCGCTTGCGCCGCGGGGTCATAGCAGGTTGTGAGTTTCCCGAGACCCTATAGAAACAACTATGCCTCGAATATTAAAAGCAGTCAATATATATTTTATATACCGAATGTCATCCATAAGTTGAAATCTTGGCATAGCTGTGTCCTCCATTTTGCCTCTTTATTGACAAAAAATTGGAAAAAAAACCCCAGTATTTTGCGATCGAGACTAGTACACAAAATGGCGATCGGTCGTCTGCGCTGCGTGGATTGGTAGATTCGTCGCCTGAATGCAGCGACCAAAATCAAATTGCACTCAAACACCGTTAACGGTATTGCGCATCGGTCATCGCACAAAAGAAACTTATACGGTAACACGTAAACCAAAATGGGGATCGCAGCAAAATGACGTCACGTTTCACAGCCATGGAAAAAGTGCTATGAAAAATGGATATAAACCGGTAGAGCCGGGAAAAATGACTATGAATTTCAATTAGCGGGCATGGTTAAGAACATGACTGCATTTTCAACCAATCAGAAGACAGGATTAGTAAAGAATCTTAAAATGAGGTATATAAAATGTGTTATAACATGATGTTACTAATGACCGGTCATTAGTAAAACTACGTGTTACGGCAGCTACAGTACACTGCCTACAGTTACATGCCTGGTCACGTGTATGCTCTTAACCAATCATTTGATTAGGATCCGCTTCGTCATCTTGTGAACCCTTGTATCTCATTGAAAGTAAAGCCATTTAAATATTATTCTTATTAACTGAATGTTACCTAGTAACGCTATTTCCACATTACTATCATCTATTACACATCTATGTTTTTTGTTATTAACTTCAATTTTTAACACAGGGATTAAAACTTACACATCCATTGTTCCAGCCTTTGTGTATTTATCGCTCATTCGCTGTTGTGAATATTTGGAGGTCCTGTGAGTGGCCGTAGTGCAGCAACAAAGGCAAGGAATAAATCAATAAACTACTCTTATATAAATATTAAACAGTTCATATGAAGCCGCATAGAACATCACATGTATATTGCAACAAATAACCCAAAACATAAAAGAATTTGTCAAAATGTGCCTGATTCTACCAAATTCAATGTGGATATTGAAAATGGTTCAAGTAGCTTTTACGGATTTTTGAATGTTGTTTCTCTTTCTCTCTCTCTTTCTTTAAATCTTCCGCAACCTTGATCTCCTCTTCTTTCTCTCTGTCTTTCTTGGTTCCCTTCTCTCACAAACCCTCTTTCACCCCTGTTCTCCCCTTCCTTTTCCTTTTTAGGACAGCGAAACTGGGCAGACTCACCAGATATGGTATGACGACCCGACTAGTCTCACTCTACGCTTTAAGATGGCAAAGAACAAACAGCTCTATGGCGTATCTGTATTCCAAGCCGATTGTCTGGATTATAGCACCAATCAAAAGGCTGTTATTGAGACTAATGCAATGTGGGACGCTTTCCTCGGAGAATAACATAGTTTTTTTCTCGCAAAGTCAGTCCCAAAACCAATTCCATGAAAATCACAAAACTCTTCCAAAATTAGTACATTTAAAAAACGCGATTTGATGTTTAAAGGTTAACAAGAATCTCCCTTTTGATTTTAATTGTAGGGTTTAAATGTTAAGATAATTGGATACCTGGTAAATTTCATACTCGTGGCTGAAATCGACCCCGGCACTGAAATACTTTAAGGCCTATGTTACTTTTTTTCGAATTATGCAATTGGCACTGTACTGACAATGCCTCAAGTTTGTTGTGTACCCATTTGTATGTGAAGTGCATATGAATATCCGCCATATTGAGTCGGGGGAAGGTGTAAGATTACCTAAGCATTTTTATACATATATTTTCTAATTATATTACAGAGCACTTGTAACTTTTTTTTTATTCTCAAGGGGTCTATAAAATAAAAACCGTGCTCTTTATTAGACTCCTCCACTGTGCTTCACCACTGTGCCAATCTTAAATGATTTAGGCCTATTTGAATAATTATATATTCATTTGTCGTATCTGTGGTTATTGTCATATTATTGAATTTGTATATAGTGTATATTCATTTGATTATGTTATATTATGCGGGAAAAATAAAGAAACCTTGAAACCTTTCTTCATCTCAAATGTGTAATTACGTTGCATGTATTGTCAATTTTAGATGTGATTTGGATAACCAACCTTGGGGTAGCTGTCATGAAGCTTGTACACTTGGACTTTCTAATGTCCAGCACATGATGCTATTATAACCATACAACACCTACGTGGATCCTTGTCATTTGATTGGACGATTGTTGGTCACATGATATTCAATAGATGGTATATTGCACGGTCGTGCATTTTTGGTTATATGTGCCGTGCATTTTTGGTTATATGCAGACTGCGTACCTAGTACCTCTCTGCTGCATGTGCGCGTATCCCTGCGTGTATCTGACGCGAAGGCAATCTGCATGTAATCGAGAAGGCTTGACTCGAACTTTAATTTATCTTTATAAGGAGTAAAGCATAATTTGTTGATTAACGTTCTATTAGGTCTTCTTCGATGTTGTATAAAACAAATAATTAATGTTTTTCATTCGTTTAATAGTGCAAATATGTTCATTCGTTGAAAGATTAACGTTAATTCTATTCAACTCGGCTGACGCCTCGTTGAATAGAATGTTAATCTTTCAACTCATGAACATATTCGCACTATTGAACTCATAACCATTAATTATTTGTATAATATTGTCCACTGGCCAGTACCAGAAAGGGATCTAGATGTCCGCACTTTTGCTAAATGAAATGCTTATTCATGAATTGGTAATGTTTCAACAACAACAAAACAATTAATAGTTAGTCCGACAGAACATCGGTCTAACCTATTAAGTATTATATCACTATCTTCCATCTATTTTTCATCCTGATTGTGAGAAGAACTTGATAAAATATGTTGTGTACAAATTAACGATACATCACAGCCATTTAAAGGCATTGTTTAAAAATGTGTCAAGTCTTACAAATATGAGATGCATGGCCCTACGCGTTATGAGTGTCTGTGATATGGTGTAATATTGAAGCCTTACAAAATTGCGCTTCAAAATGATTATGAAGTGCCTTAAAGTGTTAAAATCTTTGATTGACCGGTTTTACCACACCGATTTTCCCCTGTTAACTGCAGTGTTATAAAAGCCTTTAGGAAAACGGTTTTTGAGATTTCGAATTCCAAACATAAATATCTTGATAACCATGCAAACAGCTTGTTAAAGTCATGGGATTCCTGACTGACCTACAGGTTTGTAATTTTGATTGCATCATGAGCTAAATCCGGGATTTTGTTAAGAATCTGAGACCAATCCCTTTAAGAAATCTTCTTCTTCGAGTTAACGGGTTTTCTTCATCACATCGTATACTAGTTCCTATGTACTACATACTTTACCCTTGCTTCTGGTCAGTTTCTTTCACTATTTAATCGCAGGACCAGGGACCCGTTTCACACCGCATTTTTTCGATGACTAATGAAAAACAAACAGTGTCAAATCTGCTGGTGAACGTTCAGAAGCAAGGATTTCACTAGCTAATAACAAAAACTGTAATTTGTCACCGATGACAAGTTTGGTGAGTTGGGGCCAAGAAGTTAAGTTTTATCTTTAACTTCACCATCTTAATGAATCGTTGCTGTATGGGTCCAAAGATCACTCCTTCAACGGATAACGCTTCTCTTCCTATCTCTCTACTTGTACTATCTAACATCAATTAGTAGACTTGCTGTGCAGTGTATATAGCAAAACAAAAGAAAGTTATATACAGCAGAAATACTCTTTGTTCTTCTTGTAATAACATGACATATAATGCATAAAGTAAATAATATAATGTACCATAATACATCCAAAGATTTAGATATATAAAGCCTAATATAGCAATTGTCTAAATATATTATAACTCATGTTATCCACAATAGGTAAATGATTCAACAATATAATCTAAACGAAACAAGACGAATATCATGGCTAATTCTAGACAAGAACATGATAAAAGTTTGTCTGAGTAAACCAATTAAAGCTGATTCATCAAAAGATAAAAGGCTTGACATTAACAACTTCCGATAGTATACGCAAGGTCATCTTCATATCCAATCGACTTAAATTTGTCAAGTAGGCAAGATAATAATAATAGCACGTGACTGTAATCACGTAATCATGTATAACTAATCAACAGCGATTAGGTTACGTCAATTCGAATGAGGTTGAAACTCTGTTTATCAATATCCATCATAATTATGAAGGGAATCAGTGCACAGGTTCGGAATAGGCCATGTGTGTAATTTAAAACAGGGTTGTTAACGCTAATTCGTTAAGATATGATGCGGCAATAACCGCGGTAATAACCGTGGCATATTTTAAATGATGATGTAAAGTACGCTTCGCATTTCTGTATCTCATAACACAGAGCTCATAGATCTTTGTTGCGCGCAGTTCTGCATTCATGTTCAAACGTAAAAAAAAAACGTGGTTGCTTTCTTGCGGCGGTTTACCGCGTCTTATCTGAACGAGCCTTTACTGATTTTTGTTTCTCAATATGATGCATACTTCTCTCCTTAACCCCCTGGTTACCAACTCCTTGATTCCCTTGCTACGTAAAACCGCATCTCTATAGATGAGATTCACGTTTCATACATGAGTTGTTGCTATGTCGGGCAACTCTCTCCTAAAACTGTCTATCGGCAAGAGAAACTTTGAACAAAAGCTAGGTATCCATGAAGTTAGTAAACACGTCCATCGACTCAAATTTGTCAAATAAGCAAAACTTTTGCTTGTACCTGTGATCATTGTAGTGAGGGTTACGTCATTTCTATTACGTCATTTAAGGACGTCACACGTAGCAGTCCACTATGTCGACGTGCATATCGAAAAGTCCCTAATCATTGCTATGAACGACATCAGTGCACACGCCTGTAGAAGGCCATTCTCGTAATATAATCAGATGTATACAACTTATTCCTAGATCCTAACCAAATAATTGGTCCGACGCGGTCACGTGTGATTCATTTACTGAGACTATCACAATTTTTTGTTTTCAATGAAAAAGCATGCAATTGTTTTCAGTACTATCCAACGATTTTTAGGACACCGCGAAGCGCAGTGCTCAGTGCGTGTAGAAGTTTAATATTGCACTTTAAAGGAAACCTCAATCCAAGAACGAAAACGTGACTTATTCTAAGAGATTTATTATATTATTTCCCATTAATCTACAACATTCCCCACCAAAGTGTATGAGAGAGCCATTAAACAAAAATAATGTACAGTTTTTTAGCACGACATGGGCATCGCCATTTTCTTGATCACTTGACGTACTATATGAAATCGTTTATGAAGTAAATGTATTCTAATTTATGGATGCTTCTTTCCCAGGTGTTGGTGATGATAAATCATTTTATTCACCCGCTATTGTCCTTTGCAGGCGCGTACGCAGGGGGGTGGTTTTGGGGTTAACCCCCCCCCCCCCCTCGAGTTTTTCTTATGTGTATGTTTATATTTTAAAAACAAATTAAAAAATTAAAAAATTATGCCAATGGCTGACCTAAAAAAAGGTGACCTTACCCCCCCCCCCCCCCCCCCCCCCCCCAACGGAACAAAATGTCAAATTTTCAAATTTCCAGACCAAAAAAAAGAAAAAAAAGTGTCCGCTTTCCTTTAACTGTGTGTGGGCCTATGCATGTGTAGCACTGTGGGCATACACACACTTTTTGAGGTAACTGCGCACTCTTTGTGCACGCTAAAAAAAGCCCATTAAACTTGAGCGTTATAATGACACAAATCAACCGTTATACAAATTATTTGTTACGTCAAACAGCAAGGAATTAGAAGTTCTTTGTATAAAACAAATGATTCATGTTTCCATTCTTTTATCAAACGATCTACCCGCACTCTTGTTGATTCTGCTAATGCACTATCATGTATGCATATACAGCCTCGACTCGAGTACGGATACGTCATCAATGAACTCATTCGCATGCGTCATTTGTATAATTATTACTATTAGATGCACACCTCTTTGTTTTAAGAGGTCCTCGATCGTGACGGATTTATTCCATTCACATGCCCCGATATAATATGTTCATAGAACATACGAATTCCATAGGCCTACGTCACGTGCTGTCAGTGAAAGGGCAGGCCATAAAATCTGTCCGACAAAGTAGCAACCAATGTATGCTTAATTCGCATTCTGGCTATTGATATAACAGCTAGGTGAATGCATAGTAGCTCCTCGCAAGACAGGAAACCCGTATAAATTTCAACACATTTTTGAAATGATCTATGAACAGAAAAAATGCATGTAATGTTATCTGTTTCGGTTTCCGGTCTGCATTTGGCAACAGAAAGATTAACTCATTGTCACGTGCGAGAGTTTCCTATTTGTATTGGCACGCCCATTGAACTGCGCAGATATTAAAGTAACCCACGCTAAACGTATTTTTGATAAATGTATTATATTATGCGTTCTACAGTTGTCAACAAGGAAGGGGGCCATCAACTATCCAAGTAAAATGGCGTCGGTAGTCCCACATGTGTTCGTTCCGTGTATGGTTTTGATACTCGGTTTGTCTTGGGTGGCTAACGGGGTTGATTTCCAGAGGGATCCGCCTTGCCCTTGTTCTGATCCAGCTCTGTGTGATCCTATACGAACCGATCCAAAGAAGGAGGTGAGAAAATTGTGAGCTGGAAGGAATTTTGAACCATTTCAAAAATGGAAATAAATTGCATTTGGGGTCAATATTAGTTTGCTGGACATCCGTTTGGTTGCATTTCCTACACATAATTTGTTGTTAATGTTAATCAGCTTGATTAATATACCTTACTTTGATATATATAATACAACTTATACTACTGTTAATGATGCTATTACTACTACTACTACTAATACTGCTACTACTACTACGACTACTACTACCACTACTAATATCACTACTACTACTACAACGCTAGCACTACACTTCTACTAGTACTTCTATACTAATACTACTTTTATATACTGCTGCTTATACTACCATGTCTACTACTACAATTTGTTTTACTATAGTCTACTACTTATACCTGTACTGCTGCTTTTTCAAATACTACTAATTCAATAACTACTACTACTACTACTACTACTACTACTACTACTCAGGGGCGTACGCAGGGGGGTGGTTTCGGGGGTTCAAACCCCCCTTTGGTATTTTTATGTGTGTAAACCCCCCTAAAAAAACCTAAAACTCTCCCCCTTTGGATTTTTTTTTTTTTTAATTAATAAAAAAAAAGGTGACCTTACCCCCCCCCTTCAAATTTCGAGACCCCCCCAAAAAAATGTACGCTTCCCCCCCCCCCCCCCCCCCCCCCCCCCCCCCCCCCCCCCCCCCCCCCCACTGAGCGACTTTTCGGCCGGCGCGATTTTAAATTGTTCGGGAGCAAAATATTTTGGGCCCGATTTTAAACCCCCCCCCCCCCCCTTAAAAAAATCCTGCGTACGCCCCTGCTACTACTTATATCTGTACTGCAGCTTCTACTAGTAGTACTACTATCACTACTTTCACGACTACTACTGCTTCTACTACTACTACTACTACTACTACTACTACTACCACCATGGGTGTCGATCCGTAACTGATACCTATTCATCAGGGGGGATGATCTATTCATTCATCCCCCCCCCCCCCTGATGAATAGGTATTACGTAAGTATCGACACCCATGACTACCACTACCATTACTACTTATATCTTTACTGCCATTTCTACTACTATTATTACCACTACACTCTAAGAAAAAAGGGTGCAAAAAAGGGTGCAAAATAAGAGTTTGCACCCTTTACATAAAAATGAACCCTTTTGAAGGAAAAGGGGTTCAAATAAGGGTGCAAAATAAGATTTTGCACCCTTTCCACAAAAATGAACCCTATCGACCAAAAAGGGTGCAAAATAAAAGTTTGCATATTGCATGCATATTCATGATTACTTTACACGTGTTCACATAAAAAATACATTTATCATGATTTGTTAAACAAATTATGACAATACACATCAATTTTGTGATTTGAATTTTTCTTCGGCAATCATTAAACAAATAGATTATGTTGTCTGATCATATTACAATTACATTCACGTTTTAGCAATAGATACATTGATTATATGATTACTAACCAATAAACAACATGCATGTTTAATATGTATTTGTGTACGAGCAAATAACACGAGTATTCCTCGAGTATGGGAGAAGGATTGCACCTTTTAAAGGGTGCAGGACTGAATCCCTAAAGGTGCTGCTATTGCATCGGTTTGCACCCCTAAAGGAGCAGGATTGAACCATTAAGGGGACTAACATGTCTCCTAAAAGGTGCAATCTGGCACTCTCCTTAAAGGGTGCAGGATTTAACCCCTAAAGGTGCTGCTATTGTTGCATCGGTTTGCACCCCTTAAGGTGCAGGATTGAACCATAAAGGGTACTAACATGTCCCCTAAAAGGTTCAATCTGGCACCCTTTTAAAGGGTGCAGGATTGCACCTTTAAAAAGGGTGCAGGATTTAACCCCTAAAGGTGCTGCTATTGTTGCATCGGTTTGAACCCCTAAAGGTGCATAGTTGCACCATTTTTTCTTAGTGTGTAGTGATACGACTAATTATGACTCATAATATGACTCCTTCCCCCCGCGCTCGACTAATACTAATACTATTACGGCAACCACTTTTTTTTTTCTTTCCCAGGCTTTCGTAGCACCGCCTTGCCTTTACTCCCTTTTTATACATGTACATTCGTTGACGTCATAATAATACAATCGTTCGCTTTTTGTTTCCAGATTCACGTATTTTCTACCAATGGAGCCAACTGGAGGGACTACTTCTGGGACAACATCACCACGGTGGCTGTACAAGATGGCTTCGATCCTCAGATGATGTGCCACGCCCACTCGAAGGGCGTGCGGATCGTTGTATGGGGTACGTTCACTCATCATGGGATCCAATTTAAAGGGGATGTAACATGGGAAACACTGGTTAACGCCATCTACGACTTCTTTTTAACAACTGCACGTAAACGAATGGACTTGATTCAAACGGTCAGAATTACAATATTTATAAATATTTTGGTGACTTTAAAATGCTTTGGGCGTGTTGCTCTTTCTCAATTTACTATAACTTGTAAAGGCCAAACAAGCGAAAACCATTTCAAAGTCACCAAAAGATTTAGAACGATCGTGATTCTGAACTCTTTTTAAAGAATAGATACAATAATGACATCTCAGTTGTAGCATGCTTAATAGTCCAACATTTCAGACTAACTGATAGCCAATGATTTACCTAACTTTTGAGGAAGTGGGGGTATTGCTAATTGTATTAAAAATGCGATTTCTACTAAAATTCAACCAAGTATCATATTTGCAATTATGCTTATCGTTATAGGAGCATGTTTAAACAAATATTCTTTGAGGATTTATCTTCTTCATCAATATAATTCCAGATAAACAATAGGAATTCAACATGTTTAACTGTTCCATGTCATGAAATCATGTAGGTTCCTTTTCCGTTCAAACTCTCTTCAACGAGAGCGCCCGCAACGCCTGGGTCGAGCGCACCCTGAACTACAATGTTGGGAACTTCACGGACGGGTATAACATAGACTTTGAGATGCCACTGCTGAAATCCCAGGCTCATGTGCTAACAGCTATGGTCAAACAGATCAGGGATGCATTTAAAAAGGCCTTGCCATACTCGAAAGTGAGTGATATGTTTCTTAATTTTTGATTAATCATGGATATTTCCATTGCAAGCGTCGTGACTTTAAATTAGAGTTTATTGGTCGTTTACTTGATTGTACCCGTTCACCGTCCTACTTTGATTTCCCATTCACGAAGTCGTTTCATCATCATCACCACCACCATCATCATCATTACCGATATAATTATAATGATAATTGTCACCATCATCATCACTATCCTCATCATTATCATCATCATAAAAATGCGCCTCAAAACGATGTAGATTAAATAAATCAATATGATGTTAACAGAGTGAATTTATATTATATTATACCCGTTTTTTTCTTTGGTTTAAGTGGCATATCAATAAACGAGATGTACAGTTCGATTCTCTTAAAACAAATATTTGTAGATTAAATAAATAAGATGTCCTTCGGAGAGACTAAATTATATATATGTACTGTGAGAAATTATGACATAAGAAAACACAAGTCGATGATCCGATGTGATGTTGACTTTCATGGTTCTCTTCATCTCAGGTGACGTTCGATTCTGCTTATTCACCCAATTGCACGTTCTTTGGACGATGCTACGACTACCGTTCCATAGGCGAGATCGTAGACTACATCCTCATCATGGCTTACGACGAACTCGATCTCGTCGGTCTGAAGGCCATGGCCAATGCACCACTCAATATAACAACACAAGGTAATCAGTCAGGACAAATAAATGCCTACTTTCCGCTATCCGGGAGACGATTAAACGAAATCCCCTTCACAGAAAGCTGAATATTAGCTTATTATCTCATGGTAATTTAGCTCAGAGAATAGGTAAATTTCACTATGAAAGAGAATATTAAAGCCATTATGATAGCAGTGTTTCTTTAAAGCCTGTCTGCACTATTTTGGCCAGGAGGGATTAGACCACCCTGGTTGATCACTGACAGGTGGTTATAGGCCTATCATCAAATTAGCTCTCAATTAACAGAAGAAAAAGAGGATCATGGGAGACTACCGGGTACCGATTGGGCATTGTTTGCTTTATAGAGGGCGCTAGTAGCTAAAAGTAGTGCAGTCCCGCTTTAAGACATTTTTCTTCAATCATTTTGTAGGTGTGGATGACTTCATCAAAGCTGGTGTACCTCCGGCCAAGCTCGTGCTTGCCAATCCCTGGTATGGGTATAACTTCCCCTGCACGCTGTTAACAAAGGTAACTTGAAAACCAGTTCTGTAAGTTCAGTTCAGTTCAGTTCGGTTTTCTTTTAGTTCAGATAACTCTATTTCAAGTCATTTTAGTTAAGTTCAGTTAAGCTCTTTTCATTGCGGCCACTCAATACTTTGCTCAAGCTGGTTACTGGTTTATTTTTCTTCAGAACGACACTTGCAATTATAAGTTGCTTACCTGGGGACAGCAAGACTATAGCACTATCATGAAACTCCTGGCGAACAACTCTACGACCGGTCGAAAGTGGAGCGAAGAATACCAGTCACCATATTTCGATTATAAGGTGAAGTACAAAATAATGATAAACATGATAAAGATAATGATATAATATTGAATGGCCTTCAGTGGGATACAAGGGTATATCACACGAGCTAATGAACAAGTTTCGTCGGAACAACGAGTGAAATATTCCCCAAACGAGTGCGATATTACATAAATAATACATAGCAGTGAGGGCATTAGTAAGAATTACCCACACAAGGTACCACTGTAACCGTCTAACACACCCGAGGCGATAGGTGTTTGGACTGTTTCGAAGATACCGAGGTGGGTAATTTTACTAATGCCCGAATAAATGATGTGTTTTATTTGTTGTATAAGATGATGTTTTATAAGATGAGGTTTTATTTGTTTTTATAAAATGATGTTTTATAACATGATTTTACTAATGACCGGTCATTAGTAAAATTACGTGTTAGGCGAAATAATTGCCTGTTCACGTGTACGCTCTTAACCAATCATTTGATTAGGATCCGCTTCATCATCCTCTTAACCCTTGTATCTCATCGAAAGTAAAACCATTTAAACATTGTTCTTATTAATTGTTCCACATTACATGTGTGTCAGTGTTTTTAAATATTAACTTCAACTTTTAACACAGTGAACAGACATAAACATACTCATCCATATGATTGTTTCAGTATGTGTGTATTTATCGCCCATGCGCTGTAAGTTGTGAATATTTGGAGGACATGTGAGTGTCCCTAGTATAGAAACAAGCAGGCGCGCCGGAAGCAGTTTGGGATGGGGGGGGGGCAAACATTCTAGGGGCTCACCTTCCAGGGGCAGTGACGTAATGAGAAAAAAAACGTTCGGAAGGGGGGGGGAGACGAAAAATCTGCATCACCACCTTACCATCTTACACGTTACATTTTTCAAAGTGGAAAGAAAGGTGTAAATTGGCGTGGGGTCCAGGGCGTGAGCCTCAGCAGGGGTCAAGGGGCTGAGCCCCTTTAGGTATTTAATTACGGTTAGATGAGCATCGCGGTGCCCTCTTTAAGCCATTGACATGTTCCAGGGGGGGGGAGAGCCCCCATAAGCTCTGAGGTTTTAATATTTAACTACGGTCAGATGAGCATCCAGGGGCCGCCTTAGGGCCCTTGATGGGGTCCAGGGGGCATAACCCCCGGAAGCTCCGGGTTTTTAGGTATTTAATTACGGTCAGATGAGCATCCAGGGGGCGGAGCCCCCGGAAGCTCAGGGTTTTTAGGTATTTAATTACGGTCAGATGAGCATTTTTACCTTATTTGTGACATTGGCAGGTCACTTATTTTTTCTCCCCGTCTTTCTTTTTTTCTTCTTTAATACACTTTTTCAAAATGTGAGGGGGGGGGGGCTCGAGCCCAGGCACTTTGCAGACCATGATATAAAGGTTTCTAAATAAGCGTATTTTTAGCCCGACTGCGCATTAGGGAATTTCTTATTTTCCAAAAAATGCATAAAAAGGTATGACCTACAAAAAAATACCGAAAAATCATGTCATAACAGCAACATTTGCAAATCACTGGTATCGAATAAGAAATACACCCCCTCATCAGTATGCCAGCGTTCAGGGGCTCATGTCTTCTCACCCCTATAACAAAAAAACAGACACGCTTTCCCATTTTCGAAAAATATGTCCACGATATGCGCATATCGCTATTATAAAGACCTCCGTTAATAAATACGGTATAGGTGGTATGCGCAATGTTTATGAAATTTAATTCCTGTGAACTTTCCTTTTCTTTGAATAATATTGTATGTGTGATTTAATTCAGGTTTGTATTATTGTTATGTTCTTTTGGGTTAAAAATACAAACCATGTTTACTCCTTTACTGCTTTTTTTTTTTTTGTGGAAGGGGGGGGGACGTTTTTGGGGGGCAAAAATGCCTTTTGCCCCCCCCCCCCCCCCCCACTTCCGGCGCCTATGGAAACAAGGCAAGGAATAAAGCAAGAAATTACTCCCATATAAATATTTTACAGTTCATATGAAGCCGCATTGAACATCACATGAATAATACAACAAAATTAATAACTCAAAAATAGAAAAAATAGTCAAAATATGCAAGGTTCCAAAAAAATATGGATAACGGAAATGGCTTAAGTAGCTGCAACAAATTTGTTAATGTTGTTTCTCTTTCTCTCTCTCTCTCTCTCTCTCCCTTGCTTTCTCTCTTCCGCAACCTCTCCTTTCTCTTTCTCTCTTTGTTTCTCTCTGTCACATTCCGTCTTTCACCCCTGTTCTCCCCCTTTAGGACAGCGAAACTGGGCAGACTCACCAGATATGGTATGACGACCCGATTAGTCTCACTCTACGCTTTCAGATGGCAAAGAACAAACAGCTCTATGGCGTATCTGTATACCAAGCCGATTGCCTGGATTATAGCACCAATCAAAAGGCTGTTAATGAGACTAATGCGATGTGGGATGCTTTCCTTGGAGAATAACTTTTCCTTTTTTTCTTTCTACAAAGTCAATCCCAAAACCAATTCCATAAACAAATCGCAATTCCCTTCTAAAATTAGTAACATCAAACACAACATAATACAAAACAGTTCAAAAATCTTTGAACACATTATTGGTTAAGAAGAAGATCTATGAAAATTAGACAACATAGTCAACATTTGGCAACTATAGTCTATGCATAATAAATGTAATTGTTCCATATAATATGAGCAGACGAATGTAATAATCAAGGTCGTGGTTAAATTTTCAAGATTGAAAATAAGCTCCCTTTTGCTTTAATATGATGGGATACAGATTTCATTCTCGTGGTTGAAATCGACCCTAGCACTGAAGTACTTGTATGCCTATGTCACTTTTTTCGAATTATGCAATCGGTATTCTGCTGGCAATGCCTCAATGTTATATTGTTTTCTTTTTGATGTAGTCAATGAAACTTTTCAATAAAATAATGCCATGATAAACAAAACTCATTGTCTAATATGCAACATAATCTGTGGTGAATCCATTGCTTTCAATAAAAAGTACGGCTTAACTCTTCAACTTACATTGACACACAATTTTGATTTTTTTTTTTTTAAATGAATAGCTATATTCAATATTAAAATCAGCTCTTTATCAGCTCATTGAAAACTAATCGGCAACAGCCCACAAGACTGACAACCCTCTACACCAACAACCAACAATACCAACAGTCCACGAGACCGAAAACTCACTAGACCGACAGACCACAAGACCGATAGTCCGCGAGATGGCAGCCGAGGAGATCGACAGCTTGCGAAACAGACATCCCACTCGAATGGCAATGTGGGTCCAGCGAACATTCTGAACAGTTTTCAGAAGGTCCACGAAACGGATGTCCCAAGGACCGACAGTATTCTGACAATGAAAATATTTCAAGGTTTATGGGACCAGCATTGCAGGCTGTTGTTGTGGGCTCTTCCTTCCCTGGCCATCAGTCTCGCGGGCTCTACCCATTTGTATATGCAGTGCATGTGAATTTCCGCCAGATTGAGTCGAGGGGGGGGGGGGGGGTGGGTGTAAGATTACCTAAGCATATGTATACATATATTTTCTAATTATATTACAGAGCACTTGTAACTTTTTTTATTTTCAAGGGATCTATAAAATACAAGCCATGCTTTTTTTTAATAGACTCCTCCACTCTGTTTCACCACTGTGTCAATTTTAAATTATTTATTTGAATAATTGCATAATCATTTGTCGTATATTTGGTTAATATTATGTTATTGAATTTATATATAATGCATATTCATTTGATTATGTTAGATTATGTGGACAAATGAAGAAACCTTGAAACCTTTCTTCATTTTAATGATTCCTAAATATCAAAGATGTGACAATATACATACAATGTGTGATCACGTTGCATGTATTGTCAATTTTAGATGTGATTTGGATAACCAACCGTGGTAGTAGGTCGGCAAAGCTCTTATGAAGCTTGTACAGTTGGTCTTTCTAATGTCCAGCGCATGATGCCTCGCTTCCAGGTAGTTTCTTTCAATATTGAATCGCAGGACCAGGGACCCGTTTCACATAGCATTTTTTTCAATGACAAATGAAAAAAATCAGTGACAAATCTGCTGATAACCGTTCAGAAGCAAGGATTTCACTAGCTAAAAACAAAAACTGTAATTTGTCACCGATGACAAGTTTTGTGAATTAGGGGCCAGAACTTAACTGCTATCTTTAACCAGGTCCATGCTTTAACTTCACCATCTTAATGAATCGTTTCTGAATGAGTCCAAAGATCACTCCTTCAACGGATAACGCTTCTCTTCCTATCTCTCTACTTGAGCTATCTAGCAGCAATTAGTAGACTTGCTGCCTGGCGCTTGATAAGAAAAACAAATATTTCACTATCAGAGTGTCATGAACTGCACGTATTATACACAAACTTTTGTTTGTGAATACATCTTTACTGTTTTTATGTTACAGTAGTGTAATTCAACGCTTCTAGACGAGCATTGGGTTAAAAACATAGATCCATTCTAGAATAAGACATACAAGTGAAATACCGTTCCACCCCCCCCCCCCTCCTAAAAAAGTAATAATTGGCATTGGTTTCATAATATAAATGAGAAGAAACTATGAAAAGAAATGCTGCGCTTATTACTATGCCTACCTAACTGTCGATTTTTTTCTTCTCGTAATTAGTTTAGGCAGAGGTTCTTCCCGAAAAGAAATTTAGTATCATTTCTAGAATTAAAGTTGAGAATATAATATGTCCTATGTTTACCCTCACTTTGTAAGCTTATATTACTTCAACATTCTGTACGTCCTCAATGACTAACAACATGTCTTGTAGTCTTGAACGAAGACCAAATCTGCTCTGTCTGTTTTTCTTATCATCTTAGACCAGATGTATTACAAATAAATAGTAAGCTTCACAGGCATGTAATGACACAGTAAAGCTGACTATTGGGTGGATATTTAGGCAGATACTTAGGCAGATTTTCTTCATAAATTGAATTTTCAATATTTCACTCTGTGAAACAGGGCAATTTCTACAAGAAAAAGAGCAAGTAGAGACTCCGAATCAACGAAATCTGACCATCTAGGTAAATGAAAAGCAGATAATCTCTCAACTCTACAGATAATCTTGATAATAGAACTTTGATTTGCAAGACACCAAGAGCGCAACACATCGTAAGATAGACGTGCGTTCAGTGCAAGATTATCGAGGTCAGCGATTTGTGACGAGCAAACTATACAGGGTGTATCATAATAAAGGATATTGAAGTTTAATGACGATTTATATGGAAACTACTGATTTCATAATCAAGCACTTATGTCTGTTGTAAAGGACAGAATGTCCTCTTTTTAATGACACCCCAATCATACTTCTACTGTCACAGTTGACTGAATAACAAAGCATTGCTGTCCACCATGTGAAAGGTGCACTGTGACAAGTTAGCATTCAAAGATTAGTGCTTGTGTCAGCCCAGACATATTGAAATGCTGAACAATGAGTGGATTATGTGTCTAAGAAGGAAATGTCATTAAAAAGAGGACATTCTGTCCTTTACAACAGACATAAGTGCTTGATTATGAAATCAGTAGTTTTCATATAAATCGTCATTAAACTTCAATATCCTTTATTATGATACACCCTGTAGAAGACACTCGAAATCAGTAAAAATAGATAAATTTTGAACTCTACAGATAATCGCGACATTTGAGCTTTGACTTGTAAGATATCTATCTCTGCATTCCCGTATGGAAAGCGAAGTGTTGCAAAATACCCACAAAACCCTGATCAGAGGTTTCTCTTTGCGCGAACAGAGAGACACTACTGCACGTGCACAATAAAACCTTTGATCACAGGGGTTTTTCTGTTGCTCGTGCAAAGTTAAACTCCTGATCTGAGGTTTGGTGTATTTTGCTACACTCCGCTTTCCATAGTCCCAGTGCTAAAGTACAGTATCACCTCTGGCTGCAACAGTGAATCGGTAATTTATAATTATACAAAACTTTTGTATCGTCTGCGAACAACTCCAGTACTCCAATCCACCCATTGACTGCTGAATGCTCCCGTCCACGTCGGATTATAACAGGACCTAGCAAGTTACGGAAGGGGAAGGGTTAAGAAGACATTCTTGAAGATGACGGAGAAGATGGACATCGAGGTGGTGAAGGGCTGCTTCAAGGCAGCCAAAAAGGAGGATGGGACGATCAACATTGAAGAACTCATGCGAGGATACGAAGAGATTGCAAGGTAAATAAATGAGAGGATTGGTTTTTCGATTAGTAATAGTAGACTAGGAATGAGTGTTGTGATATTGAAAACAGTAGTAAAACTATTATACTACCATGTATAATAATAGTGATAGTGGTAATGGTGGTGGTGGTGGTGGTAGTAGTAGTCGTAGTCGTAGTAGTAGTAGTAGTAGTAGTAACCATATTAGTAATAAAAAATAATGATAATGATAGTAGTAGCAGCAGTATAAGTTTTTTTAAACAGTAACAGAAGTAGTAGAAGTAGTTGTATCATTGAAGTAGTAATAGTAGTGGTGGTTGTGTTGATGTTAGTAGTAGTCTGAGTATTAGTAGTAGTATTAGTAGTTGTAGTAGTAGTAGTAGTAGTAGTAGTAGTAGTAGCTGTAGCAGGCGCGTACGCAGGGGGGGGGGGGGGGGGGGTTGGGGGGTTAACCCCCCCTTTGCTAATTTTATGTATGTAAACCCCCCCCCCCCCCCCAAAAAAAAAAAATAAATAAATAAAAAAATAAATAAAATAAAAAAATAACCTAACCCCCCCCCCCCCCCTTTTTTTTTATTAAAAAAAAAAAAAAAAAAAAATTATGCCCACGACCTAAAAAAGGGTGACACGACATTTGCTCCTGCGACAATTGCTCCGGGCTTTATTTCGTCTAAGATGTAGGGTTAGGGTTAGGGTTTCAATAGGTTTTATGTTAGGTTTAGGGTTAGGTTTAGGGTAGGGTATAGTGTTGAATCCAGGGTTGAAGTTAGCCATTCGATTAGTGTATGAAATTTACAGCGGAGCAATTGTCGCCGGAGCAAATGTCATGGAACCAAAAAAGGTGACCTTACCCCCCCCCCCCCCCCCAACTGATCAAAATGTCAAATTTCCAAATTTCGAGACCAAAAAAAAAAGAAAAAAAGTGTCCTCTAAGGTGACCTATACCCCCCCCCCCCCCCCCCCCGCCGCTTATTCAGCTGCTGGCCGAGTCGTTTTTATTTATAAATGTTAAACCCCCCCCCCCCCCTTGAAAAAATCCTGCGTACGCGCCTGAGCTGTAGTAGTATAGTAGTCTAACAACAGAAGTAGCATAATTATGATCAACTTTGAACTACATTCTTCAAAAATATCATTGAGTCATTTGTGTACCTCCCACACAACGACGAACCTTGTAGAGCGTAACACCAGTGCCCCGTTCCATAAAACTTACCATCAATGGTAAGTTTTGTGCAACCCGGCCCAGAACGTAGGACTCTTCTATTTTTATAAAAGAGGGGGTTTATCGTAGAAAACTGGTGACTCGAGTGTGAATGACAACACGTACGCTGTGTGTGCGTGACTTGTCTTCTCTCTCTCTCTCTCTTTCTCTCTCTCTCTTTCTTTCTCTCTCTCTCTCTCTCCTCTCTCTTCTCTCTCCCTCTCTCCTTCTTCTTCCAAAAAACGGGGACAAATCAGGAAATTATATATAACTCTAGTAAATGCAGATGCACATAACCATGCGAAGTCCATTGTCATCCCTCTGTCTAAGATGGGCGGGATCACCCTGCAGTACGAATACGCGATTCCTTCACAAGCAGATCGATCCGTGAAGATTTAGATCTGCTCATGCAGCGAGTTCAGAGTGCCATTAATTTGTTAAATTTCAGGCAAACTAAAGATCAGAATCCAGTGTCTCGTGAGAGATATAATCTAATCCCTATTCAACTTTCTTCGTTAAAAAATCGTCCATATGATGCTAGTTAGGAAGATTAAGTCATGTACCTTACATTTTGGTACACTAACAGGACATCTATAATTAACCCCACATGGAACATAAACAGGAAATCTTAAAAACTGGTATATTTCCCTATAAACCCCAACCCTAATTTCAAAACAATATAACTGATTAAACTAATGACTGATGAATAAACCTACTGTTTATTGGGAGGTCTATAAGTTTCCCCTGCCTGCAAACGTACGTAGATGGCAGTAATTCTATTTTTCAAACGTTAACAGGACATGAAAATGTCCTGCTGGATGACCATGTCATTTTTTCTTTCTATTATACCATCAGACTCTACGACATGATGGGTTCCTTATTCACCTTTGTCTCCAAGGACATGCGATACCGCCTCAAGGCTCTCGAGACCCACCGCTCCGACAAGAGTCTCTCCGACAACTACCAGACGGTCCAAGCCGTGCTGGACTACGAGACCAAGAACGGCATCAAGAGGAAGTCCAAAAAGGGGGCCTGTCCGGAAATCGCGCACTCCATGAGATGCACTTCGACATCGAGTTCTTCATCGAGATGTTCATCACATTGGAAGCAGGCAACGACGACAGCAAATGCTCGGAGCTCTCCCGCGAGGCTTTCGACAAGACGCTGAGTAACAACGTGAACTTCGCCGTGCGCCAGGCGGCGCGGCTGGCCATGAAGTGGCTGCCGACCAGGAAGGTGTTTATAGATAGTAATCTCAAGCAGGACACTGCGCAGGCGCTGGAGTTGATCGGACCGACTACCGATACCATGAGGCAGGTTTATAACATCATGGAGGCGGAGTTTTCAAAGCATAATATCAAAATTAAATCCATCCTAGTACAAACTGATTAATGAGTTCACAACTTACGATTAATATTTCTTATAACATAAACTTTATCAAATGGACGGTGTTAAAGCAGCCGAGTAATACTACCAATTAACTTCACCTGGATAGAGAGTTGCGAATATGATTTTTCGACATAAGGACAATAGTGATATGAAGTAATTTCTTCCTACATGTTGCCAATTATCTTCACCTGGATGGAAAGTGCGAATATGATATTTCGCCATAGTAATATTTACATACGTTTTAATGTGCGTATGTTTTGTTTTTAAATAATAATGATAATTATGATAACAATGATAATAGTGATAATAATAATTATGGTGGTAATGATGATAATACTGATAATGATAATAATTAACTTTCCTTCAAATATTATTTATGAACTTTGATAGAGCCTCCTCGAGAACTCCTCAATAAATATCCATAAAAAGAAATTGGATTAGGACTGAGGAAAATTTAAAAAAAACATAATCATACATCAACTTCAGTGGTATTATTTGTTTTACGTATTTTTGTTTCAAACTAATCGCTGTAAAAGCAATGACTAATTCTCTTTTTAAAAAAGGTTATTCGTTGATTTATTCATTTACTTTGACAAGTTAATTTAAAAATGTCCCTGTATTTGTATACAATTTCCTACGTCATGTGACTTTTTTTCTTTCTCGCGGGGTGAAAGGAACCAAGATTTAACACAAATACATTCAAGTTCTCAATTCATCATTCATTATGAAGTCTTCTTTAATGTTATTACAGTGGTGGATCTTGAGGGCAGGGTGGGGTCAGGGGCACACCGTTCACCCCTCGCCCAATCAAAATATCCGCCCCTATGGTGAACATGAGAGTAACACCTTGTAAATATCTACATTTTTTTAAATGTATTAATTTATTTTCCACGTAATGGGAAGGATCAAGCTTTTTAGCTAAAAGCTGGTCTTCAAAGGGGTCCATCCACAAAATAAAAATACAATTTGTTGATAAATACATTTAAAATATGATTACATACAATTCATTTTCGGGGGGGGGGGAGTATATAATTAATCAGACCTGTCCGCCCTTGCATTGTCGATTGAGAGACTGCTTCCGTCGAACTCTCTCCTCCCCCTCCCCTCCCCCCTCTCTCTCTCTCTTTTTTTTTTTTTATGATACCCCCTTTTCTTTCTCTCCCCACCTCCCATAATTGACCCCCCTCTCTCTCTCTCTCTCTGTTTGACCCCCCCCCCCCCCCCCCCCTCCGATGTTTTTCTCTCTCCACCTCACGCTATCCCCATCCCTCTCTCTATCTCCAATACTATTATGAACCCACACTTTTCTATCTCTCTCCACCTCCCACAGCCTGATGATACCCACCTATCTTTTCGGTCACTATCTTGAATTATACCCTCCTCTCTCCCAATCTTTCTCTTTCTCCCTCACTCTCTTTTTTTTCTCCAAAACAAGTTCCAAATAGCTGATGAATACAACAGCGGTTATAATGGGTAAGGTATAGAGGGCAGTAGACTTGATAAGGGGAAAGGAGGCAGAAACAGTGCAGTGAAGAGAAAAATGAATTGTATGGCAAATAATCACAGGAAGTAAGCAGGAGAGTTGAATTGCAGGGGGGGGGGGAAGATTGGGAGAAATAGAAACGGAGTAGCAGAAAGATAAAGATCAAGAGGGAGAAAGAGAGAGAGAGAGAGAGAGAGAGAGAAAGGGAAAGAGAGAAAGGGAAAGGGAGAAAGGGAAAGGGAGTGAGAGAGAGAGAGAGAGAGAGAGAGAGGGAGACCAATAGATAGGAGTCATGATCTATAAAAAAAAAAAAAAAAAACTTCTTACACCTTTCCATTTCTTGTTTTCTTTTCCATTCTTTTTATTTCAGGGGGGGGGGGCCTCTTCATCCCCTGTATCCGCTCATTATAATTAGTATACTAAATTTTCCATTTCATACACCCAAGGTCATTTATTTACCTATTCATTTATTCATTTATTTATTCATTTATTTATCCATTTAATTATTCATTTATATATTTATTCATTTATTTATTTACTTAATCATCTATTTATTTATCAATTCTTTTTTAAAATACTGTGTACTTTCTTTCAATAACTCATTTCATTTTAGAGTCAAACCTACTTTAGTGACCACCTGTCTACAAAGACCACGCTTTTTTGTTCCCCTTGACAATGGTTTCTCATTGAAACATATACTAAAAGGAGCCTGTACATAAAGACCACCTGCCTATAAAGAACACCTTTTTCGTCTCCCTTGGGTGGTCTTTATAGACATGTTTCACTGAACAACACATTATCACATTGAATTTCTAAAGAAATGTATACATTCTAACAAACTATCAAGTTTCGTTGAGCAATCAATAGCTTAATTGAGTTTTTAAAAAGAGAGATAATATTTGTTTCGAAAGGAAACAAAATATATATTTGGTAAACAGTCTATCTTAGATATTCGAACGGTCAAACGGTTTATGGTGAATGTATACAGACAAGTAGCTGTAAAATGATACTCGTGATCAGGATGCTCAGAAATTGTTCCTCACATGATAAACAACCTTTTAATGTTCTTTTGAAGAAGGAAAAATCAACCTTTTCTTTCTACAACCAAAGAAACTAAACCAAAAACAACAATAACTGTATTGGGCAGTCCGTACATGGCCCTATATATTTTTAAGCCATGCTCGTTACTAAGAACTCGTATTAAAACTAATCCAGTAAATAGACTATACCATGCAGCATTGTTTATTCTTTATCATGTTTATTGGCTAGCAAAGGACTACAAGCTAATGACCGTTTTGGTACTCTTAAACTAGGAGTTAAAGAGCACCATTAAAACACCTCAGTCATACAGACCACATTGACTACACACTGACCAAAAGACCATCTAACTAACATATTAAAATATTATGGATAATTTTTAAACAGAGGTTGTTCTTTACAATCTAAAAGCTTTTCCGAGGATTGTCCGACATAGTAACCATTAATGCATGCAGACTGGATGCCAAGTATTGTAGTTCATTCATTAAAGGCCCACGTACTGCACTACTAATAGCTACTTGCTCCCTCTATATAGCAACCAATGCTTAATCGGTTACCATTTTATCCCCCATGATCCTCTTTTTCTTTTGTTAAGTGAGAGCTAATTTGATGAGATAACGCCCTGTCAGTGACCTTGCAGGGTGGTCTAATCCCTCTTGTAAACTAGTACAGATGGCCTTTAAAGGGTTAATGGCATAACTCATTACTTGGTCCCCAGGAATTAAGAAGCATCCATAAACGTGTATAGGCCTATGTTAGTAAACCGGTCTGCTTTGAGTATTAATGATTTGGGGTCTCTTGTTGGTCTGGGACCCGTTTCACAAATTTCTATTTTCAATGACAAATGACACAAATCAGAGACAAATCTGTTGATAGCCGATCAGAAAAAGGATTTCAGAAGCTTATAACAGAAACTGTCATTTGTCACTGATGACAAGTTTTGTGAAACACCCCCTGGTGTTCCTCTTGTTGGTTTGAATGCGTTAACATATTTTACTCCTTATCTGATTTTGCTCCTTTGCTGACAAGAAACTCTACGACCTCTTGATGGCCTTTGGATGATGCAAGCTGAAGCGGTGTTCTTCCCATCCAATCACCCTTCTCAATCTCCGCTCCTTGAGCAACGAGAAACTGCACGACATCTCGATGGCCATTGGACGATGCAAGCTGAAGCGGTGTTAATCCAAGATAACCAGCCTTCTCAACCTGCGCTCCTCGACTAACGAGAAACTCCACCAGTTCAAGATGGCCGCCAGACGCTGCGTAATACAGAGGTGCGCTGCCCATCCTATCACCTTCTGCAACCTCGGCGCCGCGACTTACAAGGTATTTCACAATATCGAGATGCCCTTCCTTTGAAGCAATGTGAATGGGTTTCAGACCATCAGGATCTGGGAGGTGAATCAAACTAATTTCTCGAGGGTCTGCGCCTTTGCCAGCGGAGAGATCCTTCAGTTTCTCGAGATTACCTTCTTTTGTTGCGAGGAACACACGATCCTGACCTTGCGGATCCATGTCGCTTCAGAATCTTAGCCAAAATAAGGTTATTAACTCTCAGGTATCACTAAACACCGTTGTGTTCAAGTACCGCTCTGTCGGAAGTGACAATATACCCGGTTTTTATTATTGAACTGGTAAGTGGTGTTTCCCAGACGTTGCAGCTATAGTTATTGAGCAACGTAGTCCTTGAAGTATCGTCAGTTCTCACTTTTTTTTTTATTTCACTATTAATTGAAGATTTCTTCAAGTTTCAGCTATAGGAATTGAGCAACTTTTAGTCCTTGAAATATCGTCAATTCTCACTTTTTGATTTCACTATTAATTTGAGTTTCCTTCAAGTTGCCGCTACAGTAATTGAGATAACGCCCTTGAAAGTCTTTGAAGTATCGTCGATACTCACTTTTTGATTTCACTATTAATTTGAGTTTCCTTCAATTTGCAGCTGTAGTAATTGAGCAACGTAGACCTTTAAGTACCGTCAATTCTCACTTTTTGATTTCACTATTCATTAGAGTTTCCTTCAAGTTGCAGCTATAGGAATTGAGCAACGTAATCCTTGAAGTATCGTCAATATACTCCTTTTCTTTCCCAAGCCCTTACGATCAAGCACAACTCGACAAATTGACGTGGAAGATGCCTTTTAGAGCATGTACAATGAAAAACATCTTACGATTGAAGCGTTGAACTTCATAGAGGGCGGTTACTATTCACATTGGCTGGTTTTATATTTGCTTATTCTGCTCACCATATTGACTCTAAACACGGTAAACATCATTTACAAGGATTTGATCCTAAAGGCTATAGTCACAAAGGAAAAATATTACTCTTGAAATATTTGATAAAAAGTAGCTTGCCAGTCATGCAGGTAATCACGTGTCCAACTGTGGGTATTCCTTTTCTTCCTAACTCAGTTCTACTTAGATAGGATATTGTCGAATTAAAGGCTTGTTCAGATATGGCGAGGTAGTCTGCCGCCCAAAATATTAAGTCAACTATTATTATTATTATTAATTATTACGTGTATAATGATGAACTCAACTGCCCGCGTTTTTATTGAGATCTGTGTTCTAAGATTCAAAAATGTGAAGTACATTATACTTGTCTTGACGTCATCATAAGAAACCTTTTTAGGTTAAGTTTAGCCGCGTCATAACCGAACGAGTCTTAAGGGTCAAATAAACACTTCCAAATGGGAAAAATATCGATAACGATGATGATGATAATAAATAATAACAAATACATATATAATACTAATGATTATTACGACAATAGAACATGAAGTATAAGTGCGTTGTAATTTACCGCAAGGAATTGCTGCATTGAAAGAATGTATTACTAAACTCTTGGTTCTGGTGTCAAGTGCCTTTAAAGTGTAAGTATTTGCATTTTTTACGGTCTTCATAATGTAAGGAGAGTCAATATGGTTTAGAAGAAAGCAAATATCATCTGAGATGGGTGTGTTGGCTGTGTGAAGTTCAATTCTAAAAATGACAAAGGCGACAAGGATTATTATTTACTAGATTTGTAGAGCTGTTGCAACGGTATTAAACTGTATAAACACTGAAAAACACAAGCATGTAGCCCGCTAGAACAACATGGCACTGTAATGATCTATCTAGTCCTGTGTTACTTTCCTTGTTGGAAGAAAGAAAGAAAGGTGGAGCAGAAATTAAAGCATGAACACATCCTCGTGACTAATCCCAATAATTTCATAACTGCATGGTTGCCGGATTCAGGCGCGTAGCCAGGGGGGGGGGGGGCGGTGGGGGCGGTCGCCCCCCCCCCCCCCCCCAAAAAAAAAAAGAGAGAGAGAAAGAGAAGAAAAAAAGTAAAAGGACGTAGGAAGAAAAAGGGAAAAGGAGTCGAGAACGGTACAACGAATCGTCTTCTTTCTCTAATAATTTAATGAAACGTCAAAGCTTCCGCGCTTCGCGTGGAAAGGGGGAAACTGAGTTCAAGTTAAGCATTAAGAGTCGAGAACGGAATAACGAATTGTCTTCTTTCTCTGATAAATTAATGAAACGTCAAAGCTTGCGGGAGGGGGACTGAATACAGATATGGATTAAGAGTCGAGAAATGTACAACGAATCGTCTTCTTTCAAAGCTTCCGCGCTATGCGCAGGAGGGGCGGACTGAATTCAGACAAGGATCAGAGTTGAGAAAGGCACATCGAATCGTCTTTCAAAGCTTCCGCGCTTCGCGCGGAAGGGGGAAAACTCCCCCTCCCTGCACCCACCCCCCTAGGGAGCGCGCTTCGCACGCTTGGCGTGCTCACTACCGCCCCCCCCCCCCCCCCCATAAAATGAAATCCTGGCTACGCGCTTGGCCGGATTCGTTGTCTACTTGTGTCATAGCTATTTCGGGCAATCACCGTATGTCAACAGTAAATCCAAGCTAGATTGTCTGTTGATTCTCGCAGGGAAATAAAATGGTGATGTTGGTTGATCAAATATCACCATTGGTGTGTATACCATGACGTCAGTTAAGGGTTAAGCCCGTCTGCACTTGTTTGGCCAGGGGGATTAGACCTTCCTGCAAGGTCACTGACAGGTGGTTATCTTATCAAATCAGCTCTCAATTAACATATTTTTAAAGGGGATCATGGGGGACCAACAAGCACCGATTAGGCATGTTTGCTATATAGAGGGCGCAAGAAGCTATAAGTAGTGCAGTGTGGCTTTAAAACTAGTTTTCCTATTTAAAGTGAAACTGGACTTCTGGGTCATTATATTCCCTCCTAAATTGGTACTGGTTCCCAGCAATTTTTTGCATCTTCCAACTTCAAGGTATTTTGTTATAAACCTACTGAAATACACACATACAAATGGATCGCATCTTCCGTGAAACAGAAAAAGGCAATCTGGAAATGCTAAAGGCTCTCTTTGACGGCAAGGCAGGCAGCGACCCGAGGGAAATTAGCAAACACTTTCAAAATGAGGAAGGACAGATGCCTGTCCCCTTTGCTCCACAAGAAGGACAAACTGAGATTGTTCTTCGTGAAGCTCATGTTGACAAAGGAGGACTATTACGGTAATACACATCTGCAGGCGCGTAGGCAGGGGGGAGGGGGTAACCCCCCCCCCCTTGATTTTTTTATGTGTATGTTTATGAGAAACCCTCCCCCCCCCCCCCTTTTGATTTTTTTTTTTAATAAAAAAAAAAAAAAAAAATTATGCCAATGGCTGACCTAAAAAAAGGTGGCCTCCCCCCCCCCCCAACGGAACAACATGTCAAAAATTCATGTTTTTTGAGAACCCCCCCCCCCCCTTTTGATTTTTGATTTTTGATTTTTTTTTTTTTTTTTGGGGGGGGGGGGGTTGGATTTTTTTTAATAAAAAAAAATTATGCCAATGGCTGACCTTAAAAAAGTGTCCTCTTAACCCCCCCCCCCCCCCCCCCCGCTTATTCACCGGCTTACTGAGTCGTTGCGATTTTTTTTGGGGACTCCAAAAAAAAAAATCCTGCGCACGCCACTGCACCTCTGTATTACGCTTCATCGTGTGTTCGTCTTGGATTGAAAAGTCTGACATCAATGGCGTGAGGGCGCTTCACTGTGCTGCATCGGTCGCCTAGATGTAATCCGGTTTCTCATTGGTGAAGGAGCTCAGATTATTGCTGGGCTGAAGGGCGGGAAATGGGAAGACGCCTCTTTACTACGCATCTTTATATGGTCTGGACGTAGAGGTGTTGTGCCTGGTCGAGTGGATACGGCGCCGGACTGTCGATCACAAGGTCCGCGGTTCGAGTCCCACCGCTGCACTAATGTCCTTTGGCAAGACATTGATCTACATTTGCCACACAGTCCACCCAGGTGAAGTAAATGAGTACCTGGTAGGTATTTATTCCTTGAAACGCAGCGCGCGTAACAGCTGCACTGCTAAAGCCAGGGTAATTATGCTGCATTATTGTACAGCGCGCTTTAGAGACTTCTGACAAAGTAAGTGTTAGGCGCTATATAAGCACTGTAATTATTATGGTCGATCGATTTGATGTTGTTCAGCATCTCGTTACCAAAACAGCACAATGGTCAACTTGATGTAGTCCAGTATCCTGTCAAAGGCGCGCGGGTTAAGAGGGAGGGCAAAGATGGCGCTACGCCTCTTCAATATGCATCAACAGGCGGCCATCTTGACGTAATATGATTGACGTCGCTAGCAAAATATCCTCACTTCGTTTACCATGGATATCTCAATTCTTTAATGACAATGGTTCTAATTGGAAAAATAAGTTTCGATACTGGTCAAATATATAATGAGGGGTTTACAACTTTGTTTACAGTTCAATTACAATATAGAATATATTAATTTATCCTACACTAAACATAATTTGCCAACATTTTATGAATCCATTTTGTCCTTGGTCCGAACTAAAAGATTCATTGATATGTTTAAATAAAGAAGGAAATATTCCAAACTAAATTATTTGGAAATATAGCAACATTACCTTTTAGAAAAAATAATGTTTTGTCGAAAATGGCAAAATGCAGGTTTGAACATTTATAATTCGATTACAATTAGTATCTGGAATGGGTCTACATTAATTAATGAAAAAGTAAACGCTCAACAGCTCTTATTTGAGTTAAAAATAATAAAAAAAATAAAAAAAAGCATTTCCGCAGTGTTGGTTAGATAAATTAAGTGACGGCAAAGATTTTGAAGATAAATGGGATATTTTGAATCTTATAGAAATAGAAACAGGGGATAAAAAATGATCCTGTTATGACTTAATGAAAGATTACTATCTTTTTTTAATATGGGAGAAGTCTTAAATAACCAATTGTCATTTATTTTTGGAATTCCCTTTTAAATTTAGATAACATCTTTCTCATCTTTTGCCGATTTCATTCAAACTTTTAACAGTCTACTTTTGTGATTGTCTGCTTCCCTCTATAGAGTAGTTTGCTCTCAAGGTTGGATCCCCCTTTATTCATAAAATCACGTACACAATGTCTGTTAAAATTATTATCTACTTCGGCATTAAATTCCTGTACCAATACTATTATAAAATCTACCCAATGTATTTTAATAATGATATTGCTTTTTAACGTTATTTGTCTTAATGCGTGAGGTTACTTGTTAAAAGTTATTATTGAACTAGATTTACATCATGATGTACTTTTTAAGCTTGTTCAAATTTTCGTTTTTGTATCAATGTTTTTATATGACTGTAGTTTTTGGAATTCTTAACGTGCCATTTTTAGTGATTTTATCATTCGTACACTATATTAACTTTGTCACTAAAAGAAAGGCCGGAAGTGGATGATCATTTCTTGATTCAATGTAATTATTGATAACGGGTACTGACTGTTGATCTCGTTATTGTCATCCTTCTTCTTATCTCTGAGCTCTCTCCTTTGTTAGCGATAATTGAACCCAAGTACTCAAACCGATTTACTACTTCAATCTTATTTCCAGCTACGGGGAAGTCAGTGTTATTATTATCTCTATCGACAACCATTATTTTTGTCTTTTGGGTTTTTAGAAGAAGTTCTTTCTCTCAATTCACTTGCCTGTTTGATCCGATTCAACAAATCAATAAGCTCTTCTCTGCTGCTGCAAACGAGAGTGGTGTCATCAGCATACCTTAGGTTCGTGATCTTTTTACCTCCAAACTTGACTCCCCCCTTGAATCCTTCCAGAGCATTTCTCATAATGTCCTCAGAGTAAATATTAAAAAGTAAGATTTCTTTATTTAATTCTTCTGAGACGGTTATGGTTAACGATTGAGGGAGAGAGAGAGAGAGAGAGAGAGAGAGAGAGAGAGAGAGAGAGAGAGAGAGAGAGAAAATTGATCGTGCAATGGAATGTAACATTCACCTCTCCCCCCCCCCCCCCCCCCCAAAAAAAAAAAAAAAAAAAAATGAAAAAAAAACTGAATGAAAAAAAAAAATTGTATATATCCCGGGTATATAAAATGTTTCGGATGAAAACAAATCCAGTATTAAAATTCTTTGAAAGGGAAGATCAAGGAGAAAAAGAAAAGTAGGAAGCAAGAAATAAATAAAAAGTAGAGAGAAATAAAGTAAAGACTGTAGAAAAAATAGAAAGAAAGGAAAAAGAAAGAATGAGCAAAGTTTCGGGACACATAAAACAATTTCCACATAGCGTTCTACCGCCCTCTCTCGGTCTCGTAACGTTAAGAATTTACAAGGACGCTCTGTGTTGCGATCGTAGCAGTTATTCTCCGCCACTGGATTAATATAACCGGAATTTCTACTCTTTTACTTAATTATCAGGTAAGTTTTTACGCTCATTTTCAATATATAGACAACAGGCATCATTTAAAATACATTTATTTGGGAATCATCAGTAATTTCGATGAAAATTACGGTGGATAATGCGACTGCTTTGGAGCGATGCCTTCGCCCTTCCCTCTGCCAATAACGCACCCCTAAGATGCCCGTTAGGCGACCGTTAGATTCGGGAAGCTGAAGCCATTCTCGTTTGCATATATACGTGTAACGTGATCTACGGTAGATCTAGCGACTCACTCGGTCGCGATGCTAATGTGTGTGAGAATGCAATGACTGTCAGTGAGTGACTGTTGTGATGATAACTGTCGTTCTTCTAGGTCTACATGTATTCAGTTAAATTTTAATTGTATTAGACCTAGATCGATGCTACATGATACTGTGTAGCCTTAAGGGCTCTCTCGAAATGTTTTTTTAATGATATTATTCGAGAGAGCCTTAAACGGCTCCCATACCCCTGCATGGAGAGGCATGTAAACAAAACTCAAAAGTGGTCCAAAATCACACTTTCGCGCACCCGACCAATATTGGACAGTGGCTTTGATAAATTTTGTCGTAGTTTTGGTCTTAATTACCGCTTTAATTTCAAAATCGGATCAAAAAATAACAAAATAAGAGCAATTTTCTTACCAGACCGATACAGCTCAGCTCCCTTTTCACGTGTACCGTGTGAATTCACGATGTCTACACAATGGTGATGACCTCTGACTAGCACTTCGTAAATGTGCTGCTTCCGTATAATGCGCTGAATAACACTCATACAGCGCATTATACGGAAGCAGCACAATTTACCCACAATTACGGAAGTGCCAGTCAGAGGTCATCACCATTGTGTAGACATCGTGAATTCACACGGTACACGTGAAAAGGGAGCTGAGCTGTATCGGTCTGGTAAGAAAATTGCTCTTATTTTGTTATTTTTAGATCCGATTTTGAAATTAAAGCGGTAATTAAGACCAAAACTACGACAAAATTTATCAAAGCCACTGTCCAATATTGGTCGGGTGCGCGAAAGTGTGATTTTGGACCACTTTTGAGTTTTGTTTACATGCCTCTCCGTGCAGGGGTATGGGAGCCGTTTAAGGCTCTCTCGAATAATATCATTAAAAAAACATTTCGAGAGAGCCCTTAAGGCTAATACTGTGGCCATGGTGGTATGCTAGTAAAGTCTAAAGTAAACACAAAGTGAGTAAAGTTTAATAAACAGCTGAGCTGGTCCAAGAATGAGGATCGCCTGCATAAACGAGGATATCCTCACAAAACGTGGACCTAATTTAATTTCGGCGCTGTGGGGGTGTAGGGTTCGTGAACCGCGCGTTGGCAATGCGAAAAAAATGAATTCTGCGTAATATTATAAAATACCTCCAGTTCACTGTCTACTTTTAGGGTCGCCATCTTCCCAAGGATTTAGCGCTCATAAAGTGAAAGTCTCTATACAAAGTCAATGTGAAATGCATCAAGAAAATCATTGCAGAATCCATTTTTCTCCTCCAACGCAGGATTGGAAATGCGGATCGTCCACGAAAATGCGGACGATCCACATTCACCACTACCCAATTTTCACTGGAAGCCGGCCAAAAGTTTGCCTTTGCATTTGGTTTTTATCTATGTAGATTCTAGACTTTGTTTGATTTAATAAACAAAAATGATGATTGGAAAGATTAACAAAAATATAGTCTTTGAGGCTGAGCTGAGTTGTGCATAAGGCAAACCAAGTGTTTTGTTGTTGTTGTCATCAGACATTGTATGATAGGGTAGACTCCACTCAATCAATATCTCAGTATCTTGCTTGAAGTACTGTAGTTTTTTCAAAACAAATTTTGTCTTTTGACAATCTCCAAGTCGGTGAAGCAAGACAACGGGGTTAACGGTGTACATGTACTTTTACATACATACAGTACATTTATATGTAGTTGAATATAGTTTTCTCAGAATGTTTTCATGAACTATAAAGTCTGATTTTTTTTCGGTCTAAGGACTTTAACCTTCATGTTCCATTTGACTTTAAATTCTCAGGGATCTACTTTCATTTCTCCAGTCCAATGCTTAATGTGATCATGTTGATATTATTGAATTCCTTAGACTATATTATTCTGGAAAGAAACTGCATCAACAATGATAAAAATTACAGTAAGAACAATATCATTTTCACGAGAAAATTTGGTTGTGTCATAGACCGAAAGCTTTAGTCTCTGATATCATGACAACTAGTCTAGAGAGAGACCAAATAAATGTAATACCTTCAACTGGCTCCACTGACCGTCTCTGTTGACAAATGCCAGTTTTGGAACAACTTTAAAATACCCCACCACTAAAATTGACCAAACATTCGTAGGGTACCAAATGCTTCACCAATGAAGCTACATCTCGAGACATAAGCTTTTTAAGTAACACTAAACCTAACCCTAACTCTAACCCTAACCCAGTTTTATTAAAGGAATTCCCCAAACCAGACGGTCATTTCTCTCCAGTAGTAGGTTCAGTGATGTCCATAATGTCCAAAGAGAGGCTGAGCCTGTAGACTATCAGTCCTGTCTCTCTGTCTGAATCACGTCTTATATCAAGCCCCAATCAACCCTCCCCTGGGGCAGATTAAGTTTCATATTGATCACGCCTCAGGAATGTCTCAATGAGTCTCCTTTCAACCTCAAGAAAGATAATTTCTTGTCAAATTCGGGCTAGAGTGTGAGTGGGATTTTCCAAGTTATTGTGTGTGTTATTGCAATCAGTATCCAAAAAAATTGAGTGCACCCCCAATACAAAAAGTTACAATTAATATTATAGCGATTTTGGAAACAAAGGCAACCATACTAACTTTTGACATTGATTAAAATTGACATTTACTCCAATATGTACAGTACATGTACAGTACTGTACATGGGTGTACTTGCTTTTGTTTGGACCCTTTTTTTTACAGTTTTCCATCACGCGCTACATGTACATGTACAGTACACTTTTCAAATGAAATTAATATTTTTACCTACAAATGTATCACAGAATGTCAACATTGTTATCGCTTTAAGATTTGCCATTTTAATATCACTGTACTAAAAGTTATTTTCATTTTTTGTTGAAGGTGTAGTCACTATTGTTAGATGTACATTATCTGTACATGTGTATGATTGGTACACTGTATGAAAAAACGGCCCCCAAAAGAAGTTTCCAGTCTGGCCAGTTAAATGTTATCGTTTTTCACTGAGAGTTCATTAATTGTACAAAGACATTTCAGTTTGAAAATGGGTCAAAATAACGATCCTGGAATTCAGAAACTCCCATCATTTGTACAGTATTGTGTTTGTTACAGTGTAAGTCTGTGATTAAGACCTCCCAATTCAGAGAAAGGGGGGGGGGGGGGGGGGGGGGAGTGAGAAAGAGAGATATAGAGAGGGAGATAGAAAGGGGGGGGGGGGGGGGGTCTTCGAGATTCATGAAGATTCTCTCGTCATCAGAAGTCCATTTGTTTGTTAGGTCTGCAATTATCCTCCTAATTCAGGCTGGCAGTTAGGAAGAGGAATGATCAGTAGATCCAATACCCACGTCTGACGAGGATAATAAACATCCGATTTGTGTTTCAGTCTGTAAAATGGGATGTGAGTAGTGAGTTGCACTACAATGTACATTGAAGTCAGATATATTAGAATGCTCTTGGAAAAAACCCTGCAAAAATAGAAAAAGCTCTTTAATGATATGAAAAATATACATGTACTGTAGTCAATTGTAGTCCTAATTAGAAAGAAAAAAAGTGTATTTTTGCCAGACTCTTAGTCTTACTTTCTTGTTAAATCCAAAATAGTTTGTAACAGAACATATTTTTTCGAAGTGGATGTTGGATCTACTGTTCATTCCTCTTTCAAACTGTCGGTCTGAATCGGGAGAATAATTACAGAATTAACAAACAAACGAACTTCTGTGTTTCATACTCTCTTGAATAGAATGTCTTAATTAAAAAAAATATGAATCTACAGTGTACAGGTACATGGGTATTTGATAGACAGAAATGAAGTGATAGGGAGAGAGAGAGAGAGAGAGAGAGAGAGAGAGATAGAGAGAGAAAGAGAGGGGGCAAGGTGAGGTAGAAAGATTCAGGTCATCGAGGTGAGTTCAGGAAACATGCACTTGAATTCTGAACAAGGAACTATTCACTTGATTAATGTCAACGGAAGTAATACAGGAAGGAACTAGGAAGTGATCTGGTATTTATTGTTTAATCAATAAGCTTGATGACACATTTTGTATCCCAAACACAGGTCTTTATCGTTCTATATTATTACTGTAGGCCCATTATGCCTGCTTCTGAGTGTTTAGGTTTTTGCAGAAATAATTTTCTTTGCAGGTAAAAACAGACAGTGCTGTAGGCCATCGCCTCCACATGAAATTTTATGTAAAGTTAAACAGAAAGATGAAAAGAATGAAAGGAAATATTTCATCAAGCATCCATGTTCGATTTATATTTTTATTAATTCATTTAATGGGTTGTATAATTAATAAACACAACCCTCACTGAACATGATATAAATTACATGTACAGTGTACATATACGTCAATGGAGTATAGCTACATGTACAGTACATTTATGTGAATACCATTCCTATTTCTATCCTGAGTTTAGCAGTAAGAACACTTTGGTGCAATCTCTACTCTTTTTTTTATACTGAAAAGGAAAGTGTAAATTTCACCTGTAGCCCTGCTATCAAATAATATTTAGCAGGTCAAGCGATTCAATTACACACAATACATTCCCTCCCTCCTACAAATAGCTGCTTGTTTATAGAACTGGAGCGATGAAACCAAGCATTAGCTGCCAAAATATCTGGAATTATTGTGTCAAAAGATCACTCCCTTGGCTCAGGGATACAGGTCAAGTGACTTTGACCTTTGACCTTAAGTGGGCTACTAAAATTCCATGCCTCATCTATTTTGATTTACATGTAGCCAAGCAAGGGAAGATACAATGGAAGCTTTTATCAAATTTTGTTATCATTTTTATTTGTTAGTGTCTTTAAAAAAAGTCTCTCATTTGGTACAAAGTTTTCCAAAACACAGCAAAGTTTAAAGCCACTGTCTGTACAACAACTATACGATGATGATAATTCATTTTATATTCCATTTGCTTTTTATCATTTTCATGCAGCACTCTGTCCTGGTCATCTTTTGGATTAAGTTTTTAAATCTCTGAGAGAGGATTCAGCATTTTTTTTCATTTTTGGATTCAAGGAATATTCTACGAAAGGAGAAACAAAATTCTGCTTGAAGGCTTCTCCAGAAAGGTAAGATTTTCAATGTATTAATTTCTCATTTCCAGGCCAGTGGATGTAATGAACTAGGTACACAAGTTCACATACATGTACATGTAAGTTTATTATGATTTTCATTGATGATTAATTTAATGATTATCAAATATTGGACAATATAGATTAATCAGATTCCCTGATGTAAATTGTGAAAATAAATATATAAAACCAGGGAATGCAGTGCAATCATTCTTTCACCATACAGTGTGGAGATGACTCAGATGAAGTTTTCCATTCAGGTGTGCTATACATTTAGTATGTACAATACATGTACCTGTACAGTACGGTATGTTTAAAAAAGCAGTTGCATACACATGTCCATGTACATGTACAATGTACATACTGAACTGTACATGGACACTTGTAGTTTTGTACATGTATCATGTATACAGACAAGTACAGCCTACATGTACACTGTACATATGTACAGTAAAGTACAAATACAAAAGGAGTACATACATGAACATGTACACATTGTACATGTACTGTACGTGTATCTGTATTTTTATATAAATATCAGTCAAGGATAAAGAATACTAAATGACAATTGAGTTTCTTTCTCTTCCTTTATTGACCTCACAGAGTACACTGTATGTAGCTTGTGGGTTTCATTGATTTTTTCCTCGGCTTAATCCTGTTGTTTGTGTCTCGGCTAAAAAACGTTGTTTGTGACTCAGCCTTTAAACCAGATACTTTTATGGCCTTTTCACATTATGAAGGGAAAACTTTTAAGTATAAAGAAACCTTATACAGGTAACAACAACAAACACAATGGGTGCAAACTGCAAAGGCTGCAAATTTATGTAACAACAATGGAAGTGTGTTAAATGCAGCACAGTAGATTAAATATCAGGACTTGTACAATGTACACGTAATGTACATGTCATGTACAGTACAGGTAGAGTGATATGTTTGGCGTGGGGAAAGAGATCACAAAATATTGTGGAAAAAATAAAAGATACACATATACTTAAACAAAAACGCCAAACCAAAACAAAGCAAAACAAACATGTAAACAAACAAACAAGCAAATGAAAAACGAACATGACGAGAGGGGGAAAAGGAAAGAAACACACCGCCCTTTATGGGATTAATGACAGACAAACAAAACAAATGAAGGAGAGAGAAATGTAGAACAACAAATGAATTACATACATGTACAATGTACACATTGTGTAGGATGTTGTACCGGTAGTCAAATGGCTGTGGTAGACCTGATTTTAATCTTGAATATTGTTAATTGACCTTTCACAGCGTGGGAGGGAAAATAATGAATAATTCCTTCTTTTAGAACAAAAATACAAACAAGGATTTGGTTCTTTTTGAGAATTGAAGCCCTACTGTGATCAAAACCCTGAAACTTTCAGTTTTGCATCCTCCCAAAATATCATGCTGTGATCATGCTGTCAGCATATTTTCATAATTTTTTAATTTTTTTTTAATTCCTTTACAATGTGTGTCAAATTGGGTGAATGCAGTGCAAATTCTTGTATGGATACAGATTTTTGTGTATTACTTGTTTTAAAATCTTTACATGTACTGTACATGAAATGCTGTGCATTGTACATGTACGTGAACAGTTTGACACATACAATAATCAATTTTTTCCATTGATCTACTTTTTATAGTGTTGCTCTATTAAACTTGCTCTATCAAATTAGAGTTTCACTTTCGTCTGTAAGAAATTTGAGAAACAATGTTTTCATGCGACAATTGTCACATGTTTTTATATTCTTTCTTACTTTCTTTCCCCTCTTTTGTTGCTCTGCTACTGGTATCTGTATGTTCTCATTTTAGATTTCATATTTCAGATTGTGGAATAAAACTTCAATTCTTGTGGGCGTGAGTAAGCATGAATCCTGCAACTCTTTGTTGTTGGTTCAGATGACAAGTTGAACTGTCATGACCAAAGAATTCCTCCATTGTGACTTTGTGGGCGGCTAGACAAGGGCCCAGTGATAACAGGAGACTGGGTCACTGGGTGAAGTTTGGAGGGGTAGGGTTGGTGTGGGGGATGGGTGGGAGGGAGGTTTAATAGATAGAACGAAAAGAACAGGAAGTCTGCAAGGTACATGTACATCTTTATTGTTTTCTCTATTGAATAGAAGATTAATGTGACAATGTACAGTGTAGGTTAATAATTTAAGGAATGTGACTGATACGATTAGCTTCAAGCTAAGAATTACACTCCTGTATATTCCCTTTGTACTTGTAGAGGATGTCCAGTCAGTCCCCTGTCAAGTGAATTTTCAAAAAAACGTTTTCGCACCGGTTTTTATATTAAACACTACAGTCTATTGGGAAAAATTAGTAAGGTAAAACCCGTCACTGAAATATTTGTTACTGTTTTAGGCACTTTATGATCATCACAGCCACTGATATTACATGTACATGTACTGTACATGTACATGTACATGTACAGGTGTACATGTAGGGCCATGCAACTCAGATTTGTAAAAATGGAAACATTGTTATTACGATGCCTTTAAGGGACCACATTTCCACCAATGTCACTTCAAATGATATTATTCTTAGACTTGGTACAGTGCACATACATGTACAGGTCCATGGCCAGATCAAGTCCTGAGCTTCAATTGCAAGGCTACAATGTATGCTGTATGCCATCAGGGTGATATAATTGTATGCTCTAAAGGTGAGGTGCCACTTTTCGCCCCATTCTCCTCTCTACAATACAATTCTATAGGTGCACTCACCTGTATCGAACCTCATACATTCAAAACAGGGCTACGTGTTTGTAGGTCTACTTCTACTTCGTATTGTCTGTTATTTCAAGGGGGTGGGGGGGGGGGGGTATTTCAGCTTCAAATGCATGACCAACTCCCATTATTTAGTCACTTTACAATGCACAATGAATTGATTCAGGGAAGGTTTTTTCTTCTTCCCTACAAAATGTTGTTGGTGTAGAGTTGTACAAAGTCAAAGGTCATCGGTTGTCCTATGTACATGTATGTGTACTGTACATGTTGTATTTTGTAGGCTATGTACAGTAGTCTTCTACTCTTTGCAATTTGTTCTTTGATTTGAACCAACTCCTTTAAAAAGGTCTATTTGTTTATAATGCCTGAATTTGTTCTCATTTTGTTCTTTTCAAACTTTTCAGAGATTAACTGCAGAAAGGAATTGTGTAATTCCTTTCTGCAGTTAATCTCTGAAAAGTTTGAAAATGGGGGCAAATGGCCAGATATTTGAGATAACCTACTGTACAGTACAAAGTAGAATTTGCAAATTTCTGTAATCGGTTAAATCTGAATAGAAGGTTCAGACCCAAACAATCTCTACAAAGCCCCTAAAGAATTTAATTGAATAGTGTGTGATCCAGCTACATGTACATTCCTAAAGGAATTTTCTTTCAAGCTGGGAGAGAGGCATTGTAAATGAATTCCTCCCTTTATTAAACCTCATTGTGAATGTACTGTACATGTATGTGTAGCATACATGTACTTGTAAACATAAATATACACGTACAAGAATTAAAATAGTCCTGCGACGTTTCACAACTAATGCTGTGTTGGCAAGTGAGGAAGAATTTTATAATGACACAACCTTAGGAGAAATAATAGGAGAAACAAAATACATTCAAAACCAGTGTTCTTCAAAATATGAAAATGGGGCGCAATAGTTGCGAACTTGCAAACAAAGGTAGAACAATTAACAAACAAAATTAAAACAAATGAACAGTACAATCTAACACTATAAAAATTAAACAAAACAACCCTCTCAATGATGCCCTAGATGCCCTAAGAACCTTCTATAAATAGAGTCTGGACCATTTTGTAACAGGTGTAAAATGACCAAGGGCATTATTTACTCAGTAAACTACCAAGTAGTTGACCCAGGCTGCAGTTAGATGACCCCATGACCTTTGAGGTCAATGCTGGTAACAAAATGCTGATATCAGTTTATACTTGTCACTTATTTCATATTCAATCTTGAGAGATTGTTTTTTTCCTTTTATTGCAAGGTCTTATCTTTAATCTCTCTACAATTGATTGAGTTTTTAACATTCATTGAAGTCATTTGTTTGTTCTTCACAGTTCATGAAAGTTGAACTTTTTTGCTTTGACGTCAATCAGCAACTAAAATCAGATTAAAAACTGATCAGTCCTGTTTTTTTTTTATTTGAATCTGTTTGCAGAATTTTTCTTAGAAGGAATGGCAAGTGAAATCTTCTCAGAGTTAAAAATTGCTTTACTTGTACAAATGTACAGTACACATGTGGGTCATTTCACGTTAAGTGTACACTTTTTGAAAAATGGGGTTTTCCCCATTTTGGCATCTTTTAAACAATTATTATTTTATGTTGGCCATTTTATTTGATGGACCTTATCAACAGCAACCTACAGTTCAATATTCATAACACTGCAAACATTATTTCTGTTAATTTCAGCATTTTTAGTGCATTTTTAACGGAAAAGGGATTCTCATTTCATAATTTTGATAATGTTCATTGATATCTTACATGAATCTATTGAGAGTTGTGTAAAATTTTAATGTTTTAGTGTCAGCACAGCCACTAAACATCATAAAACTTATTTGACCAAATTTGACCAATAAATGTGAAAATGATGAATATTTTTGTAAAAGGCATCTTTTCCGTTAAAATTAAAAAACATGTCCTCTCCATAACATTGAGGCCAGCAGCAGTGACTTAAAATGATATATATGGGCCTAAACTCTATTTAAATAATCTTCAGAATGTTTGAAAATGAGGACATGTCTCAAATCAATGAACAAAATATGTGATATATATTTTATTGCTTGGTTAATTTGATGACTTTATTTTCCGTTAAAAGTGTGTCCTCTCCATAACAGGTATTTTCTTCATATATTAAAGCACTGAGGCTTGCACTATCTATGGCACTGGTATACAATAATAATATGCCTCCATTTAATATCATGAAATGTGATTTTCCATCTACATAAGATGGTCAGTATCTCACACTAATGCAATGTTA